TTTTTCAAACTGTATATGGAAGCAACACACTGTATCCTATGATAGAATTATTGTACACAATTATGATCTAATAAAAAAATTAAAAAAAAAAGAATAATCTGTCAGTTCTGTGTCAACTGGCAAAGCCATTTAATTGATAGAGTGTTCTTAAGTATTTATTTATAAATGTATTATTTTTAAAAATTCAATGTATGTATTCTATGCCAAGTCCTGTTCTAAAAAGGATCAGGAATAAGAAAGATACTACTTGATAAAATCAACTTGAAACATTTTATAAATGAAGACAAGATGAGAAGGAAGAAAGGTTGTGACAAGAGATACATTAATACATAAAACCAACTATGCAATAATTTCTATTTACTAGAATTGAATGGCATATTTAATGGCTTAGTTTATAATTTACAGTGTGTGGTAAGAAAAAACCCACAAAGTTGCACATAAAAACAATAAGGGATTCTGAATCTGAGGCAGGAGTGCCCTGTGCAAAGGTCTTATTTCAGCAGTGTAAGGAATGGATTCCTTAACAATAAGCTCAAGGAACCACGGCTCTTGGTGTCACCAGGCTATTTAATACGTGGTCTCTTAACCAAAGCTAATGGTTTCATGATAAGAAACTACCTAATAAAAAGCAATTCTACTAGAAGAAATTAGGTAGAAGCTGGGATGGAGACAAGAGGCAATATGCTCTCTGGGAGGCTGAGGCAGGTGGACTGCCTAAGCTCAGGAGTTCCAGACCAGCCTGAGCAAGGAGTTCCAGACCAGCCTGTCTCTAAAAATACCTAGGTGGTGTGGCAGGTGCCTGTAGTCCCAGCTGCTCAGGAGGCTGAGGCAGGAGGGTCACTTGAGTCTAAGAATTTGAGGTTGCTGTGAGCCAAAGCACTCTATCAAGTGTGGCAAAGTGTGGCAAAGAAAATTAAAAAAAAAAAAAAGGAGGCAATGTGGTCCACCCCAAATTGTAGCTCTCTGAATCTGGCTTAAACTAGGGGTAGAATTTAGTGCATCAGGCATTAAGATATTGCACACCACATCATTCAAGCAAGTAATTATCCACAAGGGCAGACTAATTATGACATGTTCAACCCAGGATGAAAATATGGGGACATATTCTCCCAGATTTATTATAAGTTCCATTACTGAGCACAAGAAGTGCTGGAAAAAATGTCCACTAAATGAACATAAACTTTTCATTTTCCGTTTTTTTTTTTTTTACAAAAAAAGACCATACAAGTAGATATCACCCACTTGCCCCCGGCCTCAGTGCCAATTCTAACGTTTGGGTTCTTCAGGAATATTACAGGGGCTGCAGTTATCAACTTCAGATGATTAACTGTTAACATACACTACCTTCAAAATTGACCGGTGGAAGAACAGAGCCAGGAGTTGAATGAGGTCATAGAGAACATAACCTTCTTTCTTTTCCACTCCTATGATATTAGCAGGGTGGTAAGGTTTATCTTTGTACAATTCCCATTGCTTATTCCAGGGAAAGAATCCAAATTGGAAGAAATACTTGACAACAATTGCCACCTATACACAGATGATAGAAATAAAAAAATTACCCCTCATTTTAGGAAAAGATTTGCCTATATAAGAGAAATAGCAATATAAAAATTAAGAAAAGAATACTCATTTCACAGTTTGATGGTAGGAACACACATAATGATGTGGAATAACAATGGTAACACCCTCACAAAGTGGGGGTTACAATAAGAGCAATGGCAAGTGTCTTCAGTACAGATCTAAGAAGGCCAGTCAGATTCATGGGACACAACACAGATGACTGCTCACTTCACCTATTTTGTGTTTATACTATTTTAATTAGATATTTATGTAATTATTCAGCTGTTAAAACATAGTAATTAGGACAAACCTGAATGGAAACATATACATATATTTATATATATTTATTTAATTTACAGCCTTTAGGAGCAAGTGATGTGGCTTTGATGTATACAGTTTTCACTGTAGTATAGCTTTCAGCTTTTGGCAGAGAGCACAAATTGTAGAGTGAATTAACACCAACTTAATTTCCCATTTATTTCACTACTTAATGTGACAGAGAAAATGGAGAGCCCCAACTTAACCAGGAACATTTTATTTTTAAGTTGAAAACTCTACAAGTAGTTCTTGTTCTCTTTTCTACATTCTTGGTTCCTCCTCTTATCTCACCCCCAGGTAAGAAAGGGCATCTGACAGACACATGCACACAGAGCTGTAATGGATGGGTGCCCACCCTCTAACGGGAGTTAGTTATGACGTCATGGAGTGATATAATAGAAGTACGATTAGGAACATTATTTTGGACAGGCCAATTAATGTAATAGATACACATTTGGCTTTATATCTTTCATTTTCATTATGGAGATACGACACATATTATCTGTACTTTGGATATGTGAAATGACTTACTTTGTTTTAACTGTTGAATTTCTAGGCTTCAGCTGTACGTCAGTCATGAGCAGTGGCATTTAAGAAGCAATTACAGCACTGCTGAAAGTGAAAACCTTTCCTTGTGAATCAAGGAAGAAAGCTACTGTCTGTGCAAACTTGAAAGCAGAAGGCACAGTGGCAGCCCATGGTACAAAGTCCACAGAGCTTCTCTTTTACTCCCATGGTGGTTTTCACAAGAATTTGCAATCTTCTCCATGTTTACTAGGCAGGAAAGAGGAGCAGGTCTTTGTGACTGGGAGAGCTGCATGTGCCCCTCTCAGGTGTGATGAGGATAGTTATCCAAGCTACTGTCTATATTTTAGATTTTAAGTGGGTGCTTGTAGCAGTTTATATTGTGACATATGAAAACCAACTTTTAGGTTTTACAATGGAAACTACACACACTGCATCAAACTATATTCAAAGTGCTTTACCACATTGCCAACGTCAGCGGCCATTCACTGAATCCGTTGTGGAGCCAGGCAGTATGCCGGCCTTGTGTAATAAGACTGCTCCTGTCTTAGTGGTTAATACTGTAGGTCAGGCAACAAGGCTTCAAAAGCTTCCCCTCACTTGTCAGTTAAGTAATTTGGCTCAATTACGTCATCTCTTCGGCGCTGTTTCTGTGTTAGATAGGAAGGATCCTAGCACCTGCCCAGTGTGAGGTGTGAAGTGTGAAAAGATACACACACATGAGATTGTGAGCACTAGATAACTCTTGGTGCTAAGAATTCCCATGGAACTGAATGCTCCATGAAACGATCTGCTGGTCAGGCCAGGGTTGTCTGGAGAGAAGGTACAGAGGAGGGTGGAGGTGCTCTGCCTCCTGCAGAATGATGCCCTGAGCCACACACATGGAAGTTGTGCCCAAGGCCCACCTACCTCTGTGTAGACAATGGCCATCATCCAGAACCTGCGGCTGGGCCTGGGCACAGACAGCATGGCCCAGAGGAAGATGAGGATGGGCAGCAGCAGGGTGATCACGGAGGCTGACACCATGTGGTTGAGGATGATCACGAAGTAGCACACCATCTCCGAGCGGGCCACTAGAGTGTTGTACATGGCGTAGAATAGCAGCAGGAACCGTGGCTGTTCTGTGTAGAATTTCTCTGATTCTTCAAGCTCATCGTCACGAAACATTCTGTTCAAATAAACAAGAAGATGATATAGTTGTCTTTAATTTCTCCAAATGACTAACTTTAAGTTAGTATGATCCTTCCTGGTCTACCCCCACTTCTGATGTGTCTGTATTTCTTTTGCAGACAACTTAATATCAGACTTCATGATGAGAAGAAATTTCAACACATGGGTCTATTGACAGTTTTTGCTGGTTCTCTAATTTGGTCATGTAAGAACTGAAGCTTGTTGGGCAGTGCCTGTGGCTTAAAGGAGGAGGGCTCTGGCCCCATATGCCAGAGGTGGCAGGTTCAAACCCAGCCCCAGCCAAAAACTGCAAAAAAAAAAAGAACTGAAGCTTGTTTTGTATTTTTGGTACAACAGATCCTGAAATTGCATGTTTGTTCCACATGGCTAGGTGAAATTTTAAAAATATATGAACTTTTCTCTATATAAAAAACTAGAGTGTACGTGCAAGCAGTGGCTTCTCGCAGGTACAGGGCTGGCCCACCAGGCTCTTACTTGTTCAACAGCAGCTCGCTGGCTGTCAGCTCGTGTGTCAGGGGAGCTAAGATGCTCGACTCCAGCTTGTCCATGCGGCTGTCATCTGGGCGGCTGTCATCTGGGCTGACCACCATGTGGTTCTGGCATGTGTAGTCCTCCTGGGACCCCAAGGACAGGTGCTCAAAGCTGACAGCCTTGCTGTAGGAGGGTGGCACCTCCACATCCCCATCCACAGTGGAGAACTGCGTCAACTCTTCCTCAGGGGTCAGGCCTACCTCCACAGTGTCCAGGGTGCCCACCTCATACTCAACCTCATACTCTGTGGCCACCTCCTGGGGCTCAGGCACTGTGCTCCCTGCTTCTTCCTCCTGCTCAGCCTCAACCTCCTCGATGGTCTCTGTGGTCCCCTGGCGCGAATACAGCATGGTACACTGTGTGGGCTCACTATTGGGAGAAAAGCACGGGCATGGAGCCCACGTCTTAGCATCTACATGCCCCCAAATCTGTCCAGATTCTAAGGAGACCCCATTAAACCCCCCAAGTAAAAAGACCAAGGTGCAAGAGCAAATGAAATACCCCATTTTTTCTGCATTCCATCTGTTTTGTCCCTTTAGGACAACAAACAGCAGCCTCTCTGATGCAAATGCTGATGGTGCAGAGCTTAGAACAGAGCCAGACCCACAGCCCTCAGGAAGCACAATCTACCTGTGCAAAGGTTTTTAAAGTAGTGTTAAGAGTCACAGCAGTGGGTTCAGCGCTTATTTCCAAGTCAACATATACTTAGCCTAGCATGCCTGCCACTCTATCTACTTTAAAGATTTGTTTTTGCTTTATTTTTAATTTCAGAATACCATATGGGTACAAACAATTAGGGTATATTGTTTGCATCAGTTGGGTAAAGTTCAAGTTGTACTTCAGCCTTTCACCCAGGTGGTGTGTAAAGAAGGTTTTGACCAAGATGTATTTTACTGTCCTTCCTACACAGTGGACCCATCCAGGTCCATAAGTGGGTGCCATTTTTGATTGATTAAATAAATAATTACCTGCTTGACAAAAAATGTCACTCTTCTCTACCATTTGTTTTCCCATCCTCTGCCTTTTTTTCACTGGTGTGCATCATACCTGATTCATCTCTATCATGACCCCAGTTCCCAGTTACTGCTCACTGAAGTTTCCCCTTCCCGTAGCAAGGAACCAGCCTTTCTCCTCACCAGCATGAGCTCTCCTGGACCCGTCTCCCTTTCAGCTACTTGTTCCACCCCAAGGTGTACCCTTGTTCTCTTCAGCTCCCAACAACTTCATTTATTTTCTTCTACCAGTTCCTCTTATAATGTTCCCTTTCCAGAAGCTTCTCTAGTCTTACCATCAAGGATCTCTAGTCTTAACATCATTCCCTACTTTTGGCATCCTGTTCTTTTCTTGTGTGTCTTTCCTCTCCCCTTTTTATTCCTTTATCTTTTAACTCTCCCTATCAGGTTCATGAAGAAAGGTTAAGCACGAAACGAGGCAGGCACATCCACGACTCTCACAGCCTGCCTTTCATTACCGTTTGCCCCCAGACACATCTGGCCACAGCAGGAAGAGCGGCAAAATTACCTGGAGCCTTGAATCTGGTGAATGTAGGAATATAATTTGTTAGACTCTGAATCACACACAGTTATCTGAATAGCACAGGTGAGCATCTGGGTTCCATAATCACCGAGATCCTCAAATGCACAGAGTGCACCCATTTTTCTTGTCAAAGATCCCACTGTCGTCGTGCCAGTGAATGAACAAATGAATGAGCCTTGGCAGAGCCCTCAGGGCATCTTATGACTGAAGAACCAGATTTATAAGCATCCTTCATGTCTGCTCAGGCATTCAATATGACCAGGGCTTTGGTCCTAAGTGGGTATATCATGGAGTACTAGGCTAAACTGCATGTCCACTAAGATGTATCTCAACTAGACACAGCCTCCTAGGAAGATCATGTATTTGACCCATCATCCAGCAAATTTTGAGATTATTGAAGCCAGCCTCAAACTGGGTCTAAATTTTAGGATCACTGTACCAATTAGCATACTCCTTATGGTTTGGGATCCCATCTGGCCCCCAGGAGCTGAAGAGACTCAACAAAGAGGACGAGCCAGAGGCCAAATGGCCAAAGCACGCTCACCACCGACAGGTTCCAGTGCACTGCAGCAATGTGTCAACATCCATAGCCACCAGCAAAAAGAAGATAGCACCCCTCTGACTTGCCACTATGAGTGATCAAAACTTGTTTTAATGTGGGCTATTTTCACATCAGGATAAGCACAACAGGAGCTTGTGCTTGACAAAGTCATCAAGGGTAGACTGCCTTGAGAACAACATGGTGTCTACATGCCTCCTGACCATTCTAAGATAATCCAAAAAAAGAGATTTGAGATCATATGTAAATAATTTCAGTTCTAAATGATTACTGTTTTTGGGTGGAACTTAATGAAAGAACATTCAACCAAAGTAATTTTTCCAAAGAAAATTAGTTATAAGCTACAAAGCTGCAAAACAGTATTCTTTTCAAAACCCAATGATAAAATATATTCTGACTTATGTACATACTTCATGGACAGATTTATTCTGTATCAACTAAAAATGAGCACATTTTAGACATTTTCTACTGTATATATTTTTGGATGAAGTCATGAAAAGTTTTCTACCTTTCCTGCCTGATTTCCCTCTTTGAAGTCTACCCACATTAAGCTCTAAAGTATGGAGGAAACACAGTTATGGCTTTGAAAAGATAAAGAATAAAATATTTTTAAAATGGAGGACAATGTTTATAAACAAGGATTTTTAAGAAACTCCTAACAGACAAAAACTAAAGAGTGGTTAGTTTTATATAATGCTGTCTTGAGAACAGTGATGTCTCTGAAAAGGCAGTGATTATCATGCTTTTGTTAGTCATGCAGATTGTTAAAATAAAAATGAAATAAAAACATACATCACAAGAACTTATACTTGCAATGACATAAAGGGGGAAATGATGATAAAATTATGGAACAAAGCATGCACAAGTTAAGCACCTTGATGCTAAGCTGCCACTGTCAGCTGATGAGGAGGACACATCCATGCTGAACATTTTACGGAGCCTAGGCCGAGCACGCTCACTGGTTTTAGGAACAGTTTCTGGTCCATCTAAGTCATCAAGAGTAGACTGCCTTGAGAACAGCATGGTTGCTTCAGTGTAGCAGCTAGCAGCGCAAACAGTCACAGAGACAGAGTATTAAAACACCAGTGCTTCTTCAGGTCACACCACATAGGTCACATGACTAACACACTGCCATGCAGCAAACCACACACGACGCCAACACCACCAGCAACACAGACCACCACAGCGGGGCTCCAGCACAGGGAAGGGCCTGTCTGGCAGAATGAGGAGACACAAGAGGACTAGATTTTCAGAAACATATTGGCAAGTGAAAAATTATGAAATGGAATTCTTTGGCTGGGACTGAGAAATAGAATTATGACAAGTCCCAATATCTCTCTCACAAAGCAGAATTTACATAATTATAACTTTATAATTTTTTTTTTATTAAGAAGGCATGCTTTATTTGGCTCTCACAATCTTGAGTTCATTGAGAGCATTTATCAACCAAAATGCTTAAGCAGAAATATCTGGCTATATAAAATTTATATAAAATATTTTGATTTTTTTTTCAATACAGTTTCCAAAATGAGAGAGGGAAACTCAGGAAGGACGACAGACTGAATTCTCCACCTCATTTTTTGAATGATACTCAAGTAAGCCAAACTAGATGCTTTGCGTGTAGTAGAGATGCTGGTTTGATATGCAACTGGATATAAACCAGTATCAAAAATAAAATAAAATGCTGTAAAGAAGAAACAAAACTCTAGCAATTGCAGGAGCATTTTGTCTATTAATTTTTCATGTTGTCTGATTTTTTCTTCTGGATCATGTTTTAGGTCTTGGTGGATGCCACAAGGGAGAGAAACCATAGGACGAAATCTTCATCTCCTGGGACCTAGTGGAGCAGTGACTGGGGAGGAGGGATGGCAGGGTCAGGACTCAGATGCTGCTGGGTGAGGACACTGATGGGAAGAAGCAGACAGAGGGATGGCATAGGTGTGATTTCAGTTCAGACATATGGCTTAACCCCAAAGAGGGACAAAGGATCCAAAGAGCCTCTGTGGGAAGCAACTGGAATATTTATCCTCCAACTTGAGTGCTACTGTCCCTGCTGTCCTTGGGCTGAGCATGGGCATCACTGAGCAACCTATAGGCTCCCTGGCCTTCATAGCTACATGCTGTCAGTAGGGGTCCTGAGGCAAACGAGGAAGGCATTCTGGATGGAACAGCCTTTGGGAGGAGGGGACTGGAGACATTGAAACAAGGAATCAGTTCCAGGGCTTTTCAGGTCCCATGTGCTGGACTGTAGTCTCATGGCTGCTCCACTGCGGCCATGCTGCTCTGCAGGTCACAGACACAGGGCAGACAGTGGGAGGTGAGCATGGGACCAGTCAAATGCTCTCTGATCAACACATAGAGGCTTTTTAAAAAAAAGGTCCTAACTCCTTTAAATGTCATCAAGTCCCGGACAAAATGAGATGATGATAAGATAAACTAATAACTCATTGGACAAGCACAGGTAGGACGGGGCTTTCGTCCCCACACTGAGGGGAACTGGCTTTTGGGCATGAGATAAACCAAGCCCCCTTTCTGGGGCCCTAACTTTATATTTCTGAGAGGGGGAAAACTTTGCATTTCTGTATTTCATGTTTGTAGAGCTGCGACCCTACAGACTTTTGGTAGTCTGCAGCAGAAAGACACTGTGTAGTCTTCAGCAGCTCTACTCAGGCTCCTTCATGGGAACTGATGATTCTGACTCAAGATCCTATTTATCTTGTTACAATAATTCCTGGGTGGAATTCTGCTCTTACTTCTTCCCATCTTCAGAAACTACATGATTCCACACGATTGGATTCTCTAAAGGGTGACTAATATGCCATCAGTTCAGGATAGTTTTTAGGTGAATGGGAAGGGGACAGCTGTCATCCCTTGCCTAGTGGCCCCACATCCCAAGCTCCCGCAAAACACAGTAACCTTTTAGATAACATTTCAGATGATAACCACCCTCTTCATATCTAGGAATGCTCTTCAGATGGTAACTAATGTTTCTTGAAGCAATTTAAGCTAAAGCTAATTTATTTCCTGGGAAAGTAGATGTCATCTGATTTCATGAAGCAACTATTTAAAAATAAGTTTGCCATTTTGCATTGCATTTGAGAAAATTGTGACTATTCCAGTTAAGTCAAACAGAACACAAACTCATTTGTTAGATTCTCATCCAGACCCCACCTACTTACTGTATGCCCAAAAGTCAAAATTTGTGACTCATCCCACAGCATGAGCCCTAAAGGGGACTGGCTGCTGGGCAGGTGTGCCCTGGCTGGGAGGTGGTAGCTGATGGCTCCCAGGCCCTTCTCAATGATGCGGGAATCTGACTACAAGTTTCCACAGCAGAATCCCTCTAGCGAAGGTTACCACCTTCCCAGCAATTAATATGGCTTCCTGGAGACTTTGGTGTAGACAAACTATTGTTTGGAGATGTAAAATTTCCCATGTAGAGAAGAGCTGACAGACTTGCTCTTTAGAACTGAGCAGCCCAGCTTCCTAGGGGCCAGTGTGTGAGCTCATTCACTGACAGCAAAATGGACCCTTCTGTGTCTTCCCTTTCTTTACGGTAGAAAACAAAGTATAAAAAGTAAATTATAACCTAATTTTAAGGGTAACTGTTTTCTACTAGTAAACATATTTATTTATCAATTGATGTTTTATAATTTGGGGTATATTGCAACAGTCTTTGTTAAAAAGCAATCTGTGGATTTAAATAACTTCTACCTCACAATTTTGGGTCATGGATATGGCTTTATATTTTTAATCTTGGGTCAGATTTAAAGACAGTCATTTGATTTTATTTTAACCTGTCTTTCTTCCTCTTTGTGATTTATAACATTTAATTTCTTCACTGGACAGGCTGTCAATTGTTATGCAGTTAAAAGTCACTAATAGAGGAATCATATATGTTCACTTTATGAAAACTTTCTTTTTAATTCACTTACAAATATTCTCTTTGATTTCATTGCTGTAAAGTTTGATTCTGGAGTCTCTATTTTCAAGACAGGTTCATGTATAATATTCATACGCCTATAAGATCCCTGAGATTTTATGAAAAAGTTTTTATTTATATGTTCTTCCTCTGTGAATGAATATGTGGCTTTATAAAATTTCAAAAGAGTTTCATTGAAAAATGTTACAATTACTGTGTCATCACAAATTAATAGAAAGGTTATTCCATTTATTGACATTTTTTGATTGCCAAGTTTAGGAGGTAACAAAAAATTTCTGTGTTATGAAATGAGGCAAAAAAAAAAGTATTTGAAAAATATTACAAATTACATGATGAGGCAACATATTTTCTTGAAAAAAGATGCCAAGGTACAATGACCAAACTGTATACTATACATGCATATAACTTTATTTTTCACTATGTGGGAGGAAATAATTCCAGTTGAATATGAACATGACTTTCTGTAAAGCTCACCAGGGCTGTCTGAATCTTTTTATATTGGAATTCAGAAAAAGTGAAAACATAATTTGGATTAGACCCAGTCTATGTTTGATATATGCAGAGTAGCACTCTCCAAAGCTGATGGTAGTAAGACATTTGTAAGTGCTGTGCAAAAATGAATACATAAATGAGAGAAAGAAACATCATTTGGAAAAGGTATGTGCAGAGAATCTCAGCATTTCTTTCATCTTACTGTTCCCTTGGCTTTTGAAACATGGTTATTTTGTCATGAATAGTTCCTAAAGTGAATTTGGAAACGTTTAGATTTCCCAACTCATCTTCCTTTACCCTGCAACTAGGAAGGAGCATTAGTCAGCATCTCCTACACCCACTGCATTCTGACAAATCTTACCCCTCTCATTTGCCTGCTTTTAACTTTTAGCATTAAAATGAATTAAAAAGAGAATAATTCAGTTTAAGTACAGTGATCTATAGTTATGGAGAGAATTGTAGAGGATAGACAGATATATGAAGGTTCGCAGGTTATAAGTAGCATAGTTCTTATGGTTTTCAAAAGTAAAAATAAAATACAAAATAATAAATAATGACTTATGTTTTAGTGAAGTCTGTCAAAGGAGAACACTGAATCTTTTTCAAAATGCAGATTATGGGATGTTTCCAGGAAGACACACAATGAGGCCCTGTTAACATTCACCAATTGGAGGATAAGATTAAATTTTCTCTTTGTATGTTTTGATGTTGGTAATGGTTTCAGAAGTTAATGATTGGATTTAGGCAGAGGAGACTGAAACAAAGTTTTATTACCATGACACAATTTTTATTTATTTATTTATTTTTTTGAGGCAGAGTCTCAAGCTGTTGCCCGGGGTAGAGTGCTATGGCGTCATAGCTCACAGCAACCTCCAACTCTTGGGCTCAAGCGATCCTCTTGCCTCAGCTTTTCTATTTTTAGTAGAGATGGGGGTCTTGCTTTTTGCTCAGGCTGGAACCCATAAGTGCAAGCTATCTACCCGCCTCGGCCTCCCAGAGTGCTAGGATCATAGGCATGAGCCACCATACCTAGCCATTTTTTAATAATAAATTATTTTATTCCAGGAATTAAAAACATGTTAAACGGAATCTCAGTCAGAAAATAAATGTTTAACCTTGAAATCATGCAAAATTTCTGTCCTAATGTTTCTTCTTCTCACAAAAATATGCAATAGCTGAAACAACCTGTATCTTTGGAACTGATAAATAAACTTATAAATAAGCAAAGATTATTCTCAAATTAAAGGAACAATGTAATTTCTGTATTACCCCTCAAAAGAACTAGCATGAATTTGGGGAAGAAAGGAAGGGATATGTTATCAATGTACAGTTTTACCTGTACAAAAACTACATTTAAAATTGATATATGGATGAATGAATATATTATTTAAAAATGAAAATGGAGCTTTAGCATACATACTATTTTAAGACTTGAGTTTTCACTAAATGTATATATATTTTACTAAATGTATATATGTATGTGTATATATATACTTGTATATCTATATACACAAACATGTATACATCAAAAATATCTCTCCATACCAATAAACATGGATCTGTATCAATCATTATTGGTACTGAAAGAACAGGCACAATTAGAGAAGCTTCAACACAGCAGTTCAGCAGTAGTTCAATAGCACTTCAGGGTAAAACATCCCCCCTCCCCTTACCCTCTCAGGTTGCAATTTTAATTTCCAGTTATCTATTTTGGTTTAGTATGGATAAAATGGTCTCAGTTCTCTCCTCTATTTCAATTGGAAGCACATTCAGTATTCGTGAAGGACACATAGTTCTCCAGGCCATCAGTGCTCTGCTCAGTCTATGAAGTGTGACTCTAAGGCCTTGAGGCACTGTCTACAACAGTAGTGAGAAACTGCCAGTCTCCACTGTCTTCCTCTAGACAGGTGTTCTAGGAGGCAATGGCCTTTTCTCAGAAATTCCTCCCAGGCTCAGACCTCTTAGGGTATTACCTTTTATGTATCTATCTCAAAACCAAGCCTGGGCCTTAGCACAAAATTGGTGCTTTTCAACATGTTTAATGACAGAAATAAACATATGAATGTTCTCCTTGATATAATTCTTTACTTATGAAGATGGCCACAAAGTATAATTAATTATTCAGTTGGTCTAGTTAATCCCCCTAGGCAAGGTAATTTTTCCTCCTAAGACAGGGACTTCTGCTTTAACCCAGAAGCTAGCTCTCTCTAATTGACAGCAGCTATCTACAACACTGTGATGCAGAGAATTCTTAGGTTTTTCTGGCATAGGCAGTAGGTTGGCCCGTGGTGTGGGAAGAGGTAATGAGAGACAGCATACCACAGCTGGGGTTCTGAGCTGAACCACATGACTTTGGATCCTAGATTTGCTTTTATATACTTCCTAACTGTACAACTTTGGGTATATTCTTAACCTCTTTGTAACTGAATTTTGTCTTTGTAACACTGGGATAACAACAGCATCTCATAGTGTCCTAAAAGAATAAAATGAGGTAACCCATGCACAGTGCCTAGTGCTGGCCCCTGGGGAATGCTTCATGCATGACCACTATTAGTGTAACAAGTCATAGGTTCACAAAACTCAGGGGAGATGGGAGCTAACGGCAGCTTTCTGGGATTTTTGTTATGAATTTTAAGTAAAAATTCTGAAAGGAAAAACTCAAGGATAGCAACAGACGGTTGAAGATCCTAGTATAGAAAATACTTTGTGCATTAGTCATTTGCCAAGCCACTAAAGATGAGACCCTTGACGCAAATAGTAATCCTGGGATCAGAAAGGATCATTCTTACTTGCCTCCGGTTTGGAAATCTCTATACTGTGCATATGAATCATACATGTATACCTGTGGTTTATGGTCAATAATCTGCTTTTCTGTGGTTCAGGCTAGGTGAGGATGGCATTCCTGACACTTTGCTATACAGGAGACAGCCTGCAGAGGGTGGGGATCTGTGCAAGTTTTTGATTAACTTTCACCTCATACATTCATTTCTCATATTTGATGACATCCACCTCACTTACCCTGGTCAAAAAACCCCCCTCTGTTTAGAAAGTGAAATACCTGGAGATGCTGTCATGTGAATCTAAACTATCCATCCTATGGGCTGTCTGTGCACCCGAAGCAGCTCCAGGACGCTCATCAATTGTATCCAGCCCTGACTCTCTGGAAAGATTCATCATGTGGTTCTGATAGTACATGTGGATGCTCTCCCGAGTCGGAACATTGCCCTGAGGAGAAGGAGACATGGCCACAGTGCTCACTACAGACACCTCTTACATGCACACCTGGAACAGGGATGAAACGGGGATGAAAGCCAAGCTAGTCAGGTTGGAGACTGATGTTGATGCATCTAATACATAGTTCCCAATATTAGCAGGTATTTCTTACTTATTTGTAAGTTTAGCAGTTATTTGTAAGTAAGAAATACATGCTAATATAATTTTGATAAATTGTGACTTTTCCAGAAATGAACCATTATTTGTAAATACAATCATCAATCATACAAGGCTAGCTTTTGCTGCTCTACATACAGCCTAATTTTTCTTATGAGAGTTTTCAGATCAAACTTCTACTCTCAAACTATAATCCTATTTAGGTTAGGGTCAAATCTGTACACTTGCAATTCTAGTGAGGGAAGGGGACAGAATGAACAAATGAGCCATCACCACAGGACCATGCATGTGCAAGCAGGCATTTGTGTAGAGCAGTAGTTCTCAACCTGTGGGTCTCAACCCCTTTGTAACAATGAAAATATATCCTGCATATCAGATATTTACATTATGATTCATAACAGTAGCAAAATTACAGTTATGAAGTAGCAAGGAAAATAATTTTATGGTTGGGGACCACAACATGAGGAACTGTATTAAAGGGTTGCGTCATTAGGAGGCATTAGGAAGGCTGAGAACCACTGAGACTGTAGAGTGTTTAATTATTTTAATTCTGAGCATGGAATAGATTTGCATATATACAAAAGAAAACAAGTTATACAATAACTGCCTAGATAAAGGATTTTGTCTTATCCTACTTGGGGTTTTAGACATTGACTTTTAAAGTCTCTTTTTAATGTAAGAGAATGCAAAAATAATTATACCAACAGTGTTACCTTCTTAATTTCTCTGGTCAGCATGCATCTTTCAATTCTCAGAACTGTAGAGATATCAATATGTTCCCTTGAAATGGAGTTAAGCCAAGTGGTAAAACTGTCCACTGTTGCCAGAAAAAGGACCCAGGTAAATTTCAAAATATTAAATATCCTCTTGATGATATTATCTAGGAGGAAGAAAAGCAACAAGATTTCAAAGGAACAAAATACCATTAACATTGCTGTCGTGTAATGCAGTGAGGTTCCATCAAAGCCAAGCCTGGCCTTGGGCCCGTGTTCCTAGTTAGGAGTGGGGTGCCTGACTCTGTGCCATGGAGGGAGCTCTCTCTCTGGGCCTGTGCACACAAGCAAGGGCAGGACCCAGACCAAACCAGGATAAAATTTGTAATTTGGCCAAAATATCAATCAGAAAGAGTCCATACACAGCTAAAGAGCATAGGTTTGACTCTGTGGCTCCACCTACATTTGGCTGTTTTCAATACAAGGTACCCTGAGTGTGCCCGCCTCTCCTGCCTCCTCTGGCACCTTGAGACAGAAAGACCAGCGCCTCCTCCTTCTCCTCTGCCTCAGGTTACTCAGTGTAAAGATGACCACGAAAAAGGCCTTGATGATCCGTTTCTACTTAATGAATAGTAAAAACATTCTTTCTTCCTCATGATTTTCTTGATAGCATTTTCTTTTCTCCAGCTTTATTGTAAGAATACAGTACATAATACAAATAATGTACAAAATAAGTGCTGATGTCGATCAACTGTTCATCAGTGAGGCTTCAAGTTGACAGTAGGCTATCAGCAATTAAGTTTGGGGAAAGTCAGAAGTTACACCTGGACATTCAACGTGGGGGGTGGTTGGCACCTCTAACTCACCCAATGTTGTTCAGGGGTCAGCTGTAACAGGTTTAACTAAAAATACAGATTCCATTTAGTGATATGTCTGCTACTGACACACTTAGAAATAGTCAGTATCCAGCCAACAGGATCCTTTAATACTTTTCTACTGATTTCCTTTCTTCTTAAGAAAGAATTGTTGTTCGAAGCGATCTGTTAATTCAGGCAGACTCTGATGCTCTCCATTGCATTTGCATTTCAACTAATCATCTAAAAACTATTTTGTTAAGAGTTCAATGTACAGACTAAGAGTTTGTCTCTAAGTACCAGTGAAGTGTCTTCATCACTCTTTTTCTACTGAGCTATGCTAAATACAGCATTCTGGGGATCACTCCTGCCCAGTCAACAGAAGCCAGGGAATTCCTGACGGATGTGGGGAATTCTCTTCCTTTGTGGTGGCTGTGACTAGTGAGCCTGGAAGAGCTGTGGCATGGAGCTCAGTTCTGATCCCCACCATGTACGTAATGGGGACCTGATGCAGCACACAGAGGGCTCCAGCACCCTCTGAGATTTAAACATGAGCTCCTAATCACTGATAAAGGGCTGAGGACGTTCCACAGTGGTCCTCTCACTTTTTGAAATATTATTTAGCCTTGGAGGGAAACCCTATCACTGCAACATAGATTAGTGTAGAGGATGCTATGCTACATGAAACCACCAGGCATGGAGACAGACAGCCTGATCTCATTCACATGTGCACTCTGAAACAGTCAGGCTCATGGAAGCAGAGAGTAGAAGTGACCAGTGGCTGCGGGTGAGGGCTGAGGGGAAAGGAAAGGGGAGAAGTAGGTCAAAGGTACAAACTTGCAGGTATGTGGGAGTTAATGTGCAGCATCAGGGCCACAGCCAATAATATTGTATGATACACTGGAAATTTGCTAGGAGAGTAGACTTTAAGTGCTCTTACCACACACACAAAAAGGCAACCATGGAAGGTTACAGGTTAATTTGCTTGAGTGTATCAGTCATTTTACTATGTGTATATATATCAAAACAGCATGTTATACATCTCAAACATATGCAGTTTTAAAAACAATCAGGTTTGGCACGGTGGCTCATGCCTGTAATCATAGCACTCTGGGAGGAGGTGGGAGGATCACTTCAGCTCAGGAGTTTGAGACCAGCTTATGCAAGAGCAAGACCCTATCTCTACTAAAAATAGAAAAATTAGTCAGATGTTGTGGTGGGTGATTATAGTCCCAGCTACTCAGGAGGCTGAGGCAGGAGCATTGCTTGAGCCCAAAAGTTTGAGGTTGCTGTAGGCTATGATGATGTCACAGCACTCTAGCCTGGGCAACAGAGTGAGATTGTGTATCAAGAAAAAATATAAATAAATAAATAAGGAAATAAGTATGTAAGAATCAGAATAAAAGGGAAGATACCATAGTACCTGTCCTTGTGTGCACCAACAGTTTCTCAGCTGGTATACAAGGAACATGTCCAGACATGCCACCAAATTTTGATCTGACTATAATAAAGGAACTTCTTAGTGAACATGATAATGAATTAAAAGTTGACTTGCTGCTCATTTTTTAAAAAAAATCTACCAATATCAATAAGAAAGAATTCATATTCTCTCTCTTTTCCCGCCTTAAAAAAAAAAAAAAAAGAAAGAAAAGGAAAAAGGAAAACCAGGTTTCAGGTCACAGTAAAATCTTAATGCATTTTTGATTGATGGTAAGAATTTGAAACTTTTATAGTTTAAAAAAGTTAAAACGGCCTATGGAATAGGGGAAAAATCAGTAGCATAAGCCTTTATGATCTCACACAAGTGTGGACAAACTTTTTTCTACACAGGCCCAACAGTAAATATTTCTGGTGTTACAGGTACTGTATTTCTGTGGCAACTACTTGACTTTACTGGTGGGTGTTAAGGCAGCCATAGATCAGGAATGAACTGCATGTGAATGAGCATGGCTGGTTTCCAACAAAACTTTATTTAGGGGCTCTGAAATTTGAATTTCATAATTTTTGTATGTCATTAAATACTCTTTTTCTTTTGACTTTTCCCCAATCATTAAAATCCTTCTTGGCTAGCAAGTCATAGAAAAATAGGTGGCAGGTCAGACTTGGTACAGGTGCTGTTTGCTGACTCCTAATCTAGTATAATCAGATGTGACCTCTGAAAAACTCATTCTCACCCTAATCCTAATCCTCTCTCTCTACTTTAAAAGATCACAGTCTGATTCACAGTTAGGCTTTGTAATGGAAAAAACGTTCTTTCTGAACTAAGTGGCCTAGGAGGAAGGCAGAAGAACTTCTTTCAGTTTAAAGTTATTTTTATTTATTTTTAAAAATAGATAGGGTCTCACTCTGATGCCTAAGCTGGAGTGTGGTGCTGTTACAGCTCACTGCAGCCTTGAATTCTGGGCTCCAGTGAGCCTCCTGCCTCAGCCTCTGGAGTAGCTGGGACTACAGGTGTACCACTATGCTGGCTAACTTCTGTTCAAAACGAAAAGCATCAAAGGGAAGTTTAGCTATGACTGCTATGGGCTCTGGACGAAGGCCAGAAGGCCTGGTAGAACCAAAGAAGAGTTCAATGGCTCTACCCAGTAAAGCATCAAGAACCTTAAGAGATGCTAGCTGATGCCTGGGTAGGAAAGTGGGTTATCTGTAAAAGATGGTAAAATGATCTGATGAGAAGGGCCTCGAACCACCTGGTGGCCAGCCAGGCCCTGAGGAATAGCCAAGGATAGAACAGCAATATCTGAAATTCTGTGTGAAGGCATCTCCTGACTATGCTGTCATTATCGTTGCTAGCCCCAGATTTCTGTAGAACTGTCACACCTAACAGTCACAACATAACATGTGCTTAGGAAGTATCCTCAGTTGAACAAAGAAGCACAGAAGAGAACAGCTGCTGCTTGAAGCTGCACGCGGTGAGGTGCTGCCAACGCTATAGAGGAGCATCTCTGAGCAGAAGATGGCATGATCACCTAAATCTCTTTCTACACACCCTCTTTATAAAAATCTTGAGCAAGGAGGGAGGTGCCTATGGCTCAGTGAGCAGGGCACTGGCCCCATATGCTGAGGGTGTGGGTTCAAACCCGGCCCCGGCCAAACTGCAATAACAACAATAACAAAAATCTTGAGCAAGGTATGTACAAGTGTTTCTCTAACTAGTTTGAACAGAGTCTCCAGCTATTTTATGTAGACATAAGTGAGAAGCTTGACTCCTGGAGGCTGAAGGACTTGGTCCCATTAATATTTTTGACAACTTATTTTTTCTTATATTCATGATTACTTTCTCAGAAGTGGTAAAGATAAACATTATTTCATAGTTTTGCTATTGTGGACCTGATGGGGAAGCTGAAATTGATGCACTGGGAACACGAATAGCTTGTACTTTATTAACTTGAAGGATCACAGACTATTAATAATATGGAAAATTAGGATTTGAATTTTGACTTTATTTATGCAACCACAGAGGTAATGGGGAATAGTGGTTAAGAGCACAAACTCTTGATTCAGACTTCTTTTAGTGGGTGTATAGACTTGGAAAAGTTAGTTAATCTCTATCTGCTTCAGTTCCCTTATCTGTTAAAACACGAGGAAGAGGAGTTTTAGGGGGTTGGAGAAGCTAATATGCCTACCACTCTTGGAAAAGCGCCTGGCAAACAAGATGTGCTCTGAAGTGCTGGGTGCTATTCTAGTTTGATGCTTTGCAGCAATAGTAGAATATCTAGCTCCACATATGTGCGTGTCTAGTGATTTGGAAATGGAAATTCAGTTTGGCAACAGTCTTGCAGAGAGTGGTAGACAGCCTTATCATCTCATGCAAGCCTCATCTTGTGCCAGCAGATGGCAGCCTTGGAAACATTTGTGTCCAGAGTCAGAGAGGCTGACCACAGAGCCCCCTGATAAATACCAGGAGGTCCGAAAGCAGGAGATGGAAGGAAAGCAGCATGTTTATAGACAGAGAGTGGCACTGAGTTCATTTCACATGGAGGATGTTATTTTGTCTTTTTTTTCTTCTTGCTAAGAGAAAACACAATGGCACTATGACTAGGCCGGGATGTAGCAGACAAGCGTGCTACTTCTGGCTGTGTCACTCAGTCGCTGCGAGATCCTGAGCAAGTCACACACTCACTGTGACTTGGTTTTCCCGTCCTAAAATGAGAAGGCTGGCCCCAGCTTTCCAGGGTGCCTCTCTTTCCCCCAATTCAGCTTACTTTTCACTTAACTCATTCTTTCTGTGTTCTTTAAAATGAACCACCAGCATTCTTTGTGCCTCCATTCTGAGGGCTTCCATGGGACATTAGAATTTTCTTCCTAAAAGCTTCTTTCTTAGGGACTTGCATAAGGGAATTTGTAAAATGACACTAATCAAACATTTTATCCAAAAACATAAAGACCAAATCTGCTTTAGGAGCTGCTTGACAATTTCAGCAGAGATGAGATTTAATCACAGTCCATACTTTGGTTCCTTATTTTCCAGGCAGCCTTCCATTATATCCCATCTGCATCACGCAAGTGTCATTTCCAAAGTTGCCATGGCTCATATCTGTCTGTATTTTGTTACCTGGTCCATCAGATTTCTTTTTGACGTGTTCCTCTTCTCGGTCATCCCATTCCATGGGACCTGCCAAGTATGTGCAATAGACATGAGTTGTGTTACTTTTATTAAATGGCAAGACTACTTCTCTAGATCAAAATGAATTTTATAATTAAATCTAGGACATTCTGCCTATTTTAAGAGTTCTAGGAGAAAAGGTGTAATAATTCATAGCTTTCAGAGTCTCTTTACTGCATTCCGGAATTATGTAAACTAAGGGTGAGTGAACTAAACCTCATAGGCCAGATATGGCCTCCTGACTATTGTCAGATAGCCTGTGAGTTCAGAATGGTTTCTATATTTTTAATAGTTGGAAACAATGTAAAGGAGAGTACTACTTTATATGTAAAAATTACATGACATTCAAATTTTAACGAAACAGAACCTTGTCCATTTGTCTGTGTGTCGTCTATGGCTCCTTTGGCTCTGCAAAGGCAGATCTGAGTTGGGTCAGAGATTCCATGGAAAGCAAAACTGAAAATATTTACTAACAGGCCGTTTATAGAGAAAAGTTTGCCAACTCTCAATACATACTATCAGAAGTAACGAACTTTAGGACAATGTTACAAATTTTAATTTGTCATATGTTAAAATGGCATCATAGGATTTCATTTTATTTCTTTTTCTTTTTTTTCTTTGAGCCATAGGCACCACCCCATTTTATTTCTTATCCTCTTATTTTAGGCTAAATTGTCAGATTTAGCAAATAAAAACACAAGATATTCAATTAAATTTGAATTTAAGGTAAACAAGAATTTTTTTTAGTGTGTTCCATTAATTATGTCCAAATTATACTTAAGCTGAACATTATTTAGTGTTTATCTGAAAAAAATCCAACTTTAACTGGGCTTCCAGTATTATATCTGATAACCTCCCTAAGGCCATTCCTGGTCCAACTCTAGTAAGTCTTCTCAAACTTATTGTTTACTATCCCCTTTTCTGCTGCTGTTTCATATCTTGTCTTTACCAGCTAAACTGACCTGCTCTTTTTATTTTTTCTTTGTATGGAACTTTGTGGTTACTATGTTATTAGGATTTTCTTCCTCCTGTATTTGTCTTTCCCACTGGTTAAGACAGAAGGCTATAAAGTTGAGATGTCTGGTACGAGTTCCAGACCCACTACAATGAATGGCTGTGTGAACTCAGGAAAGTTGCTTCACTCCCTGGGACCTTATGTCCTCATCTGTATAGCAAGGATAATAAATTCCCCTTGGGCTATGATAAGACTCAAATGAGCTACTATCGTATACATAAAGCACTTATAACAGCACTGTCACTTCAGAAGGACAGAATCGAGGTGCTTCATAAGGAAGAAGTCTAGAAGAAATGCCTTGTACCACAAAGGTGCTGAACAAATATTTATCAAAAAATATCTTTAGATTATTGCTGTCTTTGATTTGCAAGTGAACAGTTGTGTACCTGCACATGAAATAATCATCATAACACGGGGAACAAGCTCGTATCAAAATGACCAGAGGACAACTTCTTAAACTAGTCACAAAATTTTGAAAAACAAATGTCTGAGAATAGCAAAAATAATTTTGGGGAAAAAGGTAGTAAGGGGAGCTTGTCTCACTGCATATTAAAGCTAACTCTACGGCTACTGGACTCAATGGTTTATGGCACTGGCCCAGAGCTTGACAACCAGAGAGTAGAGCAAGATACAGAGTCCAAAAATACACCTGGGAAAAGATAGGAGCCTAATATTGACAAAAGAAGAGTTTGAGTCCAATAGACAAAGGAAGAATAACTCAATAAACAGGGACAGCATAATTGTCTATTCATCTATAGGTAAGCAAGTTAAATCTCTGTAGAGTGAAAAAAAATTCATGATGTGAATAAATTAGCAGGAAATGTAAGAAAACATTTGCATAATATTGGGGAGAAGAGACGTTCTTAGGCAAAATAGAAACCTAGATACTGCAAGGAGAAATTTAGACCCATTTGACATTAAAAAAAATTACAAATATTTGTAACCCATGAAAAAAGGATAATAAGCCTTACATATGTGGGTCATCATGGATACACAAAAATCAAGAAATGTAAAACTCACATTGACGGAAACAAATGAAGCCCTCTCAGCAACACCCATAGGCCATGCAGGTGGAAACCTACACGGTGAGTCAGATAGGACATTGTCAACTGTGTTTCTTGTGAGTGAAACAATGGACCATAACACAGTCTGCCTGAAAATTTCTATAGTGACCCATGTACAAATAGTCCAAATTAATAAGAAAAGAATAAATAACCCATAGAATAATGTAGAAAAATGATAAAAATGTTCAACTCTTAGACGTGGAAGGTAAATTATCAAGAAAATATAAGGGAAAAATGCTCCTAAGCAATTATTAGGAATTCAACTACATTCAAATGAAAATAAAAGCCATTTATCATCCTGCAGAAAGACAAGTGATAAAAGGATCAGTAGTGTACTGTTGCTTTTTTGAGGTAAAAGGAACAATAGCCAGTCCTGTGTTTTATACATAGGAGTAGAAATTACTAAAACCTTTTGGAAAATGTCTATTAAAATAAAAAGAGGCACACACCCACTTTTGGGAATTTCTTCTGTGGAAAGCTGAATGTTCTTCCTAAGCTCATGAGTTTATTTTTACTTTTTTATTTTTTAAGTAAAAATAGGAGAAGCAGTGGGAGTGAAGAAGTAACAAAGAGATCTGTAACTGGTTGTGATTAATTAGTTATAAATACTTAGATCAGCCTGCTATGAATTTAAATGTACACATGTATTGACTACACGTAAATTTTGTGCAAGGCTATTACAGCTTTGTTCACTGTGGCAAATCTGGAACCAATCTTTATGTCCATTAAGGATGGGATAGTTGAATAAATTATGCATCTCTGTACTATAGAATATTTTACAGCTATTAAAAAGAATGGCTTTGTTTTATAAATACTTAATTAGAGAAATCTTCATGATACACAATATTAATGAAAATACAAGAGTACTTTGTAGAGCATGAACTTACTTTCGAAAGAATAAACAAATAAAAGTGCATGCATACACAAGGGATGTTAGCAGTTGTTACCTTAAGGCAGAGCTCTTTACTGATAGACTCTTCCCAGTAGGTGTGTGTTAATTTTGTGTTTTTAAAGCTGTAAACTAAAATAAGATCCTACACTCCCCTCCCCAACTGAATGGACACCCTCTTGGCCAAAGGGATCTCAGAAAAACCCTAAAACTGAGTTCCTGGCCATGACAGAAGGGGAGGTCAGACAGTCCTTGTTATATCTCCTCCCTTTTAAAGTTTAGACACAACAATTGACCAGTATTGTTAAATAATAGATCATAAGACTGACCGAGGAGACTCTTTGTGGTGATAAAATATCAAATTATAACTGAGACCTAAGGCCATGCCAGGTAATAAGTTACACCTTGCAAGCCATAAAATCTGAATAGATAGGCTTTCTTTTGCTGGCATGGTGTATCACTTGATCAGTAATAGGCCCCCTTATCTTAAGCATTCTTTCTTAGTCCAAGTTTTTAGACAAAGCTCAGCTCTTTCAATTACCAATTAAAGACACTTCAAATCCACCTATCACTTGTAAATGTCCTTATGCTGCAAAATGTTGCTTCTTTTGGAGCCAAATCAATGTATACCTCCCACGTACTGATTTATAATTGTGCCTGAAATTCCTATTTCTGTAAAATGTCTAAAACTAAACTGTAACCCAGCAGCATCCACATCTTTTCTCAGGAACTCTTGAGAATTTTGTCTTCCCAGGCTGCAGTCATTCATACGTGGCTTAGAATAAAACTCTTTAAATGATTTTATGGAGTTTGGTTTTTCTATTAACAAAATAATAGAGTAAAACAATGATAAAGTTACCAGGAGGTATAAGGGGAAGAAAGGCCAAAAAGAAGAAAGAATGTGCAACTAGAGTTCCATCAGAAATTATATTTTTCTTTTATTTTTTGAAGACTTTTTAAGTTTCACAAGGAATTTATAAATATATTTCCTTTGTAAAGAACCAAAATGTAACAGATAAGCCTAAAGTTCTCTTTAATCATACCACTTAATCTCCACTCTCTCAACAGTAGCCACTGTTATTAATAAGCAATAAGCTAAGCCTTCTTCCTGATCTTTCTCTTGCCTTTATACACTATTACATGAACCCATTAAAAATGCAAAATATTGTCTTGAGGTTTTCTTTGTCTCACGAGTGGTTCCATTTTGCAATGTGTTGCTTTTCACTTAACAATATGTCAACAATTGTTTTCCATGACAGTTCAGAGATACCCATCTAGTTTTTAAGCTACTGAATAATAACTCTTACAATATAATGGCAACAGAATTTATCTGACTCTTCTTCTTTAGATAGATATTTAAGATGTTTCCAAATTTTTGTTATTAACAAATACTGTCTGATGAATATTTTTAAGACAAGTATGTTTGTGCACATTGCTTTAGGTAAAGCCACACATCTAGAAGTGGGACTAATCTGTAGTAAAACATATACATTTAAAGTTTTAACAGATATTTGATATCTACACATGGATTTTCAAAGTGGAGCTACTACAGGACTTTACAAACCACTCATGGTATGTACAAACACTTTCTTCCCATCAGCTCCCAATAAGTAAAATTATCAAATATTTATATTCTTGCCAGTCCAATGGGTAAAAAAAAATACAGCATATAAAAATATTTGGTTTGTATTTCTCTATTACTAATGAGGCTGAGCACCTTTAGGCCACTTTCATTTTCTGGTCTGTGAATTATTTTTCATATCCTTTCATTTATTGGGTCGAATTTTTCTTTTACTGATTTTTAGAAGTTCTGAACATATTCAAAATCTTAATCTTTATTCTGATATATATGTATATATTTTACATTTTATGTAAAATATATACATATAATTTATACATATACATGTATAAATTACATGCATGTAATTTCTATATACATATAAAATATATGTATATAGAAACACTATTACTGAGTGTACTGCTTGACTTCAACTTTGCTTTTGGTGTTTTTAGTTGTAGTCTGGAATATTTTTTCTCCCTTAGAAAACTACTTACAGCATCTATCTTCAAATATATTGGTATAATGCTGAATATAGCATTGGTAGTTCCATTTTTTTTGTTTCTAAGTATTGTTTCAGCATGCTTTCCTTTTTTTCCTTGATCAAATTGACAGTTTCATCTTTCTTACAGGTTTTCAGGAATAGCTTTTTACTTAATGATCAGGTCTTATCTTTTATCTCTTTGTTATCACTTAATATCTACCTTAAAATATCAGACTTTTCCTTCTATTTTCCTTGGGTTTAGCTTACATCTTTTTTTTGTTTCCCATGTTAAAATGTATACCTTAACATAAATTCATGCTTTAGTTTATGCTAATTATCAGACAGGAACAGAAAGTTTTATCCCTCTGAAGCTTCTGTCCTTTGTAGGCCTCCCTCTATATTCCAGGGCCAAACAAGTGAGGAGCATGGCCTGTAAACTGTTGCCTCCACGCCAAACTCACCTTCCCCAGATCCTTTCCGCTTTTGCTCCTGGTCTTCTCCTGCAGACCTTTTCTTCTCTTTGCGTCTCTGACGAAGTGCTGTTTTAGGATCAGTAATCCAGGCTTGATAAACAAACTGAAGGATGAAATTTCAATTATTTCTAGATCTTTTAATAAGTTGAAATTAAAAGAAAAGGAACCTACACCAAGCTTTCTTAACTTTTAGAATTTTTTTATTCCAAAACAAGCCAAATATCCCTATGCTATTTATATTAATGTAAGATAAAATATGAGAACAGATGTAGGAATATATTTCATTTAGTACCACAGATAACATCAGATAAACTCTGACTTTAAGCATACAAACCATCGCTTTTCCCAAATCCCCAAACACTCCCATTATGATATTTAGTTACTGATTCTTTTATACTACACACAAGAGGAATAAGCTAGAAGCCTTACTATTATTAGAGTAGTTTCTCCCATCAAAAATAAACTTTGAGTCAAATGCAAAACAACATCTTTACCAGTCTTATGTACTTTGGGAAAATAGTTTTACGCATTCAGTATTGTCCCTTGTGAGTAACAGCTATTAACCAGCAACTTGAGAAAGGATTTGTAGACTGATTAGTATTTTAAGAGAAAAAAATAACATGACATTCAGGTTAAGGCATTATTCCAGAACAGTATGGACGGAAGACTGTGGTGCTTTTAGTTGCCTTTTGTCGTTTTCATTCAAGAGCTGAAAATAGTTGCATTAATATTTTATAACTGATAACTGGGAAAGAATAACTTTGAATAGCCCACCTACCAAAAGTTGCTGAAATCATGCAGAAAGAACAAAAAGAAAACCTTAATATACAAAGTCAGCCACCCAGAGTCACGAAGCCAAGCAGACATGCTCCTCATGCACCACAGACACACTTGGGTCTCAGGGAAGCTGGGTTTTTCCATTATGACGAATAAGAGAAATAAATTTTTTCTGGGGGCTCTTGTAAAGCCAGATATTTTTGTTTTATTCTGTATTATTTTCAGATTTCCGAAATCTTTGAAAAACACAGCCTAAGCAAACCAGGAGCATTGTGATATCAGTAAAAATGAAGGCGGATTTAACTTTTCCATATATGGAAATGGGTTTCTAAGAAAAAAAAAACTCCTGTTCTTGTCACTGGTAGAAATCTGAATTTTATGGACAATTAACACAAATGTGACTTTTTGTATTATTTCTGAGTGACAAATTCAGGAGGCAAAAAAGAAAAACAATTATTCTATTTTATCCTCCAAACTTATTTTATTTATTTATTTATTTTAAAAACTTATTTTAAACAATGAGAAGATGACCTGGAATTTGAAGGAGAAGGACTGAAAAAAGGAATTTAAGGTAGATGTTTATTGAGCACATTAATTTGAAATTTTATCAAGACTATCTTTGAGGTTTAGCACTTTCATATGCAAACTTAACACAGCACAACACTGGTTTAAAAGAATTTGAACTACGAAATTTTCAGGATTAAGAGCAACAAATGGTCATATTTCCTTTAAAGAAAAATGTCATGATAATATTGTTTTTAGATAATATCAGAATCCCCAAAATAAAAAAATTCAGGATTTAAAAAAAAAATTCAGGATTTTTGAATGTAGTAGGCATACAAGTTAGAGGAATTCCTTTGCTCTGAAGAGAAAGGAAACTGGAGGAATGAGAAGGAGAAAGGAAAGAGAATGCTATGAGTGGAATGGAGATGTCTTGTGGAAAGGGTATGCACCCTTAACATTCAGATGTGTTAAAGCAGATCTCCTGGTCCTCCAGAGTCCCAGTGAGATGAGAATTCAGATAATGCAGATTAAGGGGACACCAGGGTGGGAGGGAACCATCTAGTAATTCCCTATCTTGTAGGTAAATTATCTTAACACTGACGTTTTAAAATACAAATGTTTTACAGTTCCAGGAATGGTTGTCTGACAGAGAGTCATTTTTGCTAGACCTGAGTATTAAAAAATAAAATCAAACAAAGCACTGTTGATGAGGTAGGAGAAGGAGGAATCATCTGAATCCTCACTGAGTGAAAACTGTAAGGTTCTTACTGAACTTCCCAGTTCTTACTCTGTAGTGGAAACTGCCATCCCCTCCATGGGAGTTTCTGGGGAATCAGATGCTGGCACCACTGACCATAAGGAAAACCTTTTGGTCATACACAAGAGACCTTTGGGTTCTCCAGGCTGCGCTTCTACTGCACATGTTCCTGACTTTAGCTTCAAGTTTATCATTTTCAGGGGAAAATGGGATTCAGTTTACTAAAAAATTATTACGCAAAAATGTATTTATTCTTTAAAATGGGGAGAGATTTATTGAAGGGGAGATCCTGAACTGAGATTGGTGAAGTTTCATAATCAGTCCTTTAATTCAGGCGTGATCTAGAACCTTCTTTATATTGTCTATAAAAAGGCGATTAAAAAATAAAAAAAAAGTATGATGGGGGATAGTTACATTGTAATCTTTCATTTAAAGAAATTACTAATGTGAATTAAGAGAGTCATATGATATTCACATAAAAGAGAAAAAATTAAAAGAATCTTAGGGAAATAGCAAAGGTAAATATGAAACAAAACTCCAGGATGCCAGCATTTTAATTAAGAAAGGAACAGAACCTGGAGTTCAGGACCTTGCTACTCAAGGTAGACTAGCAGCTGTGCTTCCCTGGAGAGCTTGAGAGAAATGCAAAATTTCAAGTCCCATAGAATCTACTGAATGCAAATTTGAATTTAAATTAACATCCCCCTAAAATTCAAGAAGCACTGGTCTCTGCCATTATCCAAACCATCTGCTTAACACTGAGGGACATAAAGACTTTCTGAGTTGAGAAGAAAGAGCTTTCTATAAAATACAAGAACAGTAATTTGATACTTACAGGTTTTTTCATAAAGAAGTAACTATAGGAAAGGTAGCTGGACAACTTTGATTGTCCATTAGATTAATCAAGAAATAATTTTTTAACCATTTTCACAAAAAATTGGTCCCCTTGGAGTGAGAGGCTGTGTCCGTGGCAGCACAGCCTTGGGAGGAAGGGGGAGATGTACTGAATTCAGAGACTGGAAGGCAGAAACAACAGGGACCCAAAAATGAGATGGAAGGACCTTTGTCTTTGCTTATCCAGAATTTTACCAGCTTTCTGAGAGAAAACATCATACTTTTACTCACTATAACTGATGCATGCAACAGATGTGACCCTCTTGAAATGAGACATGACTTAGGCGAAACCATGAGAAGGACAGGAAGTATACACTGTCTGCATTTTCCCTTTCTATTTTTTGATAGTCTTTGCTTTTAGCTTAAATCAAGAGTCAAATAGAAATTGGGCTTCTAAGAACTCTTTTTGGAAAATGTGCATTCTTACATTAAATTCTTATAATTCTTCACGGTATGATATATAGAACAAAGAAAATGCAGAGAAAGGGCAATGGGGACGTGGTTATCTAAAGTTCTACAGAGCAGAGAGTCACACACTACACCATCAGTAAAACATCAAATACCTTTGCAGCTCTGATTAAATACTGAAGAATAGTTTTGGGAAGTTTAATGATAGACTTTGGCAAGGCTAAAATGGCTGATGCAAACTTCCCAATAGCTCTCTACAAAGAAGGACAAAGCAACAGTAATTAGTAGGAAAACACTCAAAAATTAGTAATTTAATATATGACATCAATATGAATTTACCTCTACAATTACATCAACTATGTTAAAACGTGCCAGTCACTGAAGCTAGAATAAAATGTGCTCTGCTTGTAAACAGAGAAGGAAAACAGTTGGTCATTGCATGTAACCCATCCAATATGGTGAAAACCATCATCATGCTCTCTCCCTTGCTGCATGACAAGTGGTAGTTAGAATAAAACCCATCAGAATAAAAATAAGTTATTAGTATTTGACAAGCCAACTGCACACATGCACACAAACACAGCTGTCAAGAAATATACATGGACTGTGATTAGGTTCAGTAAGAAAGCATCAGACGACAGCATCTCCACGAATAATTTAATTCTTCAGTGTCTTTGGGGAGACAGGGGTGGATGGACCTGCCCTTTGAGAAGGCCTGGCCTTCTCAACGATGGGCTTTTCATGGCACATCACATGTCTCGATGGATACCATTCTATGTGCCCAGCAGGATAACAAAGGGAAAATAACAGTACCAGTATGTGGTTCACTGGTAACAGAAACTTAACCAAGTTTCATCCCATATGTAACTCTAATGACAAAGCCTCATCTATAATAAGCATTGATTACACATTCACCAGATACATTATATGAGGCTGATGAGCTGAAACAGAAAGGTTATGAAGCTGAAAAAATCAGAATTGTGCCAGATATTTTAATTATTATTCAAATACATTCTCAAATGTTTGGAAATTCAAAGTAAACTGACTTTAAAAATTTAAAGCAACATTTAAATGATCATTTGCTCTAAAACGAAGTATTTTATCTTCAGAATCAAGTATTTCACATATCAAAATGTAAGTTCATTCAAGCAATTCAAAACAATGCCAAAAATTTCTTTCATCTCCTACTTGCAGCTTAAAAAGAAAATTCTACCCAATGAAGCTTTATTTTTTGTTTATGTCTGTGAGCTAAAATAATATCTTACACCCTCTAGTCTACTGAATGGACCCCCTCCTGGGCAAAGGGACCTGCAAAAGACCCCAAAGCTGAGTTGCTGGCATGAGGAGAAGAGAGGTCAGACACACCACATTCTGCCTACTCCCTAGAAGGGAGGTCAGACATACTTCACCCTGCCCACTCCCTTTAGAGTTACTCTTTATAACAATAAGATATGAAATTATTAACAGGACCTAAGACTACAAAACAAGGCTTAAACCATACCTACAGGCCATCAATTTAATTATCAGACCACTGATAAGTTTCAGTAAATGTCCTGTGGCTTCTCTCTGATTAATAAATATTCTTATCTTTATGGCTGAATAGTATTCCATGGTATACATACACCATAGTTTATTTATCCATTTGTGAGCTGATGGAGACTTTATATCTTTATATCTTTTGTATTTACCTAGAAGGATTTGAAGAACATCCTCCTAAGTAAAGTATCACAAGAATGGAAAAGAAAGTATTCAATGTACTCAATACTATTGTGAAACCAGTAGATGAACTACACACCTACACAAGAGATAAACATAATTAGATTCATGAAGGGGAGGGGATGAGGGAAGAAGATTGCTGTGCTCTCACCTAACAGGCACAATGTTAGGGGTACAGGGCACACCTCCTGGGTGAAGGGCTCAACTACAACTTGGACTCTACCTAACAAACACAAACAATGTAACCTAATCATACATATTCTTATATTAATCTGAAATAAAAAAAAAAAAAACCTTAACTTAGAACATTTCAAGCTTTTAGACAGGCTTCTTTTCTTGAACCAATTACAAATCAAAGAATCTTAAAACCCAGCTATAGACTAAATCCCACCCTCCCAATCCTGCTTCAAGATGTCCTGCCTTTCCAGTACCTTCCACGTATTGATTTATGTAGCAACATGTAATTCCTGTCTCCATCAACTTATAAAAACAAACTATAACCTTGGCTGCCTTGGGCACACTTTATCAGGACCTCTTGAAGCCATGAGCCCTAGGCTATGTTCACACAGAATAAACTTCTTTAAATTATCTTACAGAGTTTAGTTTTTTCCCATTAACTTATCAGAAAATGTTTGAATGCAAATGAATGAAGACCTGACCTGCAGACATTGCTTTTGCATGGCAGTAATTATGGCATTGCTGAAAGTGAACAGTATTAAGTTTAATCAGAAATAAACAAGCTCAGATATAAATCAGAAGCTTCTAGAGTCTCTGACATATAAATATGGCAGGGAAGTCTAGGTTTGCAATAGGCTTTTTCAATAAGAAAATCTTTTTCAACTAGCAAAAGACATGACTCTCCCAACCCTATCCTCACCTGGAATGCTGACCTTCGTGGGAGTTCTTCATCTTCCTTCTTTAATTCTTCCTCTTCCTCTTCTTCACTATCCGTTTCAAACAAATAATAATCTCCACTCCTCACCACTAAACAAAACAAAATATTTACTTATCACTTGAAAGAGACATGAGATAATTGAGGGCTTATTAATGAAAAGCCCCCTAAGATATACAAATTCTCCATAAAAGGATCACAGCAAGAGATGTTGGCAGGGAGGAAAAGGCAAGAGATGAATAGAACTCATCTTAGGCTGGCTGATGCTACAGGTGTTGGTGTAATTAGGTCCACAGAGTATGAGGCTTGTCTGTGTTGTATAAGGGAACTGCCCACTACAGGGTTGATCTGGTATTTTCTCCCTTCTTTAAGTTTTCATAGATGAACCAGATCAACTCTGCAACAGCCAGTTTTGTTACCAAGATGACCAAAATAACTAAAAACTATCTCATAATTCAGAAATTTTGGTCCTTTACACAAGTCCAAAGTGAACTGGGGGATTTGGGATTATTTGAATGGGCCTAGTTAAAGATAAGCCAATTAGGAGTATTCAGGACCAAGGTCAGTGTCTTCAACCTTTCACTTCGTTTTATACTGTGCAGACATTGCTTCTCCACATGTAACACGAGAGACAAAACATACAAGACGTTTGAAAGAGTTTAAAGAAAACACATACACATTACCATAAGGAGAAAATGGGCAGTGACATTAAAAACAAAATAATATAAAATGAAAGACAACACCACCACCGACAATGGTCTGACTGCCTCTGTGTGTAGTAGCTCCGGGGCAGACTGAGAAGGGCAGACATGGTCTGTATGGGTTAGCACTGTTAGGATTCTGGTCAACAAAGAACTGCTCTGTAGCTTACTTCAATTTAAGGAGAACTATATTGACCAAAAGACACAAAGCACAAATAGTATAGATTGTCTTTGCCTTGTCCAATACTTTCCTTGAAAGAACATAATTGTGTCAACACAATTGGGACCAGAGAAAACTAAAATGCCCAAGATTTAGAAGAATCTTTAATAAATTGAATTGCTATCACTTTAATATTTATTTTAAGTCTTTCAGAGGGAAGATACCCAGTGTATGCATTTCGATGCTATGTGAAATGTACCTGCACTATTTTGTAGGAAAACTTGTTCGTATTTTTGAATTACATTCAGGTTTTCAAATGCTGAGGCATATTTTAGATGATATATCACAGTATCTTATCTTTTGGACTTACACATTGTAAGGTAATGGAAAACCTTGGCTTGCATAAAATTAGTTGCTTGAATATCATGAAACATGGTCAAAAGTTAGTAATTTTGCCCATGAATTTCAGATGAATCTGAAGCCTCCATTCATGAAGATAACAGTGTGAATGAAATGGGCCTTATATCCTTGAACAGAAGATCTATAATTTGTTATTTGTATTATGAAGAATGAACCAGGCCCAGAGTACTGGGTCCAGGCCTAAGGAAATAAACGCAATACAACATAAGATAAGAATAAGCAAGAACAAACCAAAGTTACAGCATTACATTTGACAGTGAGAAAGACCATTAAAGTAATGCCTTCACATAAGCTGAGAGATGTGCAGGAAAATTACATGGACTCTATGTCACATGATCACTTGGGTAAAACACAGAGTATTATGAGATTGAGCATTTTACCCTCATTATGGTTTCTAAAATCAATCATAGCTTAAATTGTATTCAATCACACCTTCTATAACTTTTATTCATGTGGATAAGCCCAAAGAGTTTTCATCTCAAGTAGTTATAACATTAATTTTATCATTAGAAACTTCACCAATTTTTATGTGACCAAGTAGAATTAACACATAATGAAAAAGAAGAAAATGTAAAATAAAGTCTCTTATTTCTTTATAAAATGTTATTGAAACAAAACTAGAAAAACAACATACAGTACTTTCCTTAATACCATCTACTAATACAAAGGAGGAAAGCTTATTTGTTAGCTCAGATGGAGACCCTGCCTCCAGCCTGTGTGTGCACACGTGTCCTGAATGTTAATGCTGTTGCTGAGTTACTGAGTACAAAATTAACTTTTAAAATTCCATCACTAGTGTCTCATAACTTGGCCCTTTATTTCAGATGTTTATAGATAAAGTAAGATTGGTAGTGATTCAGGCAGTGCTGAATTGATATGGAGACACACAACCCTGGAGTGGAAGGTATCATTGAACAGCAATAATGCAATCCTATGTGTGCACATAGGTATGGAAGTAGATTTGGTACCTGTAGACCATGCTAAGATCCTCACTGCTTACCAATGAGAGCAAAAACATACTAACATTTTCAAATCGTCCGTAGATTTACACATTGTATACCAACTACACTTATTCTTATACTCAGCATCTCTAAGAAATATCTATTTGAAAGCCCAGAAACTCAAGAGATCAAAATAAGGGCTTTAGTGAAGTACTTTTCAGATCTAAAGATAAGTTCTGGAACTCATCATAGACTAAACTATAAAGCATATTTTCTTTCCCTTCTGTTCGCTACAAGCTTGTAAAAAGAAATATGTTTTGCAGAAAAAACATAAAAACCATAGTCAGAATATGATTCCAAACTATGAATTACACACATTCCTGCATTATTGCATCATAAGGTTTTGTAACAAGGCACATTTAGTTTAATACCCATCTTCCAGAACTTGATATAATGAGGGTAAAATGAATCAGAAAATCTGAAGTCAATAACTCAGAAAATTCTTTAAATTATTACCAACTTGTAAGATGATTATCAAAGACCATATCCAATTCATTCAAAAATGCAGCGTTTAGCTGAGAAAAGGAAAGACACCCACATTGATCTCATTGGGAATTTACCCCAGGTGAAGTGACAAAACATTCAATATGATACCAGTTTGAAATGGATAGGTCTCTCTAGACTAGCAAAGGCCCTTTAAAAACAGAAGGATGGGCACAGTTTTCTTGTGACTTGATAGTAACAGGTGTCTAGGTCAGACTTAGTACAACTAGCGTGACAGGCCTGGTCAGACTTAGTACGACTAGTGTGCTCCAGGCAGTGAACAGAGGACTCACACTAGACTTCAACTAGAATCTTATCTTTTTAACTGCACAGAACATTAAACAAAACTCTTCATAATACATCTCTTTTTTTCCTCTTTGCTTTGCCATAATGGTGAAATTCAATACTTGGGGTTAAATTTAATTACATCCAAATATACTAAGTAAGGGCGGCGCCTGTGGCTCAAGGAGCATATGGCGCTAGCCCCATATGCTGGAGATGGTAGGTTCAAACCCAGCCCTGGCCAAAAACAAAACAAAACAAAACAAAAACTTCAAATATACTGAGTAAATTTCAAATGTTCATTCATTAAACCAGCTTGTTGATTTAAAAAAAAAAAAAGTTTTTTGGGAGTTAGAGAGGCCAATACCAGATATATGTGAAACTAAGAATTGGGTATGGTAAAACATTCTCATTTCCTTGATTTTCTGTGTATTTGATTTTGAATACTCTCCTAGTAGATAGAGTTCCTCCTTACAGTGTGAAACATTATGCACCTTGGGGATATTCCTTGTCTGATTGAGTTAGCAATGGGAAAACACAGTAAAAGATATAAAAGACTGAAGACATTACACACAATTTTCAAAGAATAATTATCTAGTATTCTAACAAGTTTTAAGATTAAAAAACAGCTCTTCGGATCATAATGCCAATGGCCCATTATAACATTTCCTTTGCTAAGCAGAACAAAGACAGCCAGTGATTTCCATAATTTCTAATTTATTTTTATGATCAGGAGGGAAATACACTACATTTTATGTGTCTATCAAAATCTGCTTTACAAAAATGTTTTCTGATTTTTGCTGTTAATTTGTCATCTCTGAACAGCAGGTGGCTCTGAGGCTGTGCCACGTGCAGGCATTAGAACCTAGAGTTTACTTTTAGGGCCTTTTTGAAATGGAGAGGAGCCAAAGTGAGAAGGTAAATGAATTTTAAGTTATCTGTCATCTTTATATTTAATAAAGTGCCAAAATACCTTAAATTCAAATAAAATCAAGGCTGGGATGAGGGTAGGGAAGGTTCATTGGCAACCACGCCTAGCACTTTACAAAGAAGGTCACCAACACTGTGAACATTATGACCACCCTTAAACCCATGTCCAGGGAGAACTGCAACTCATTTTTATTACAATAAGGGGCTTTAACCATAAAGCAAATAAGTATCAGCAGAACTTTAGACCTCAGAATTGGGTAATACAATAATCAATTGTTCTTCCCTCTCTGAGCCCATCAACTGTGCTCAGGAGTTTGTAAGCCACATGACTGGCTTTCTTTAGCCAGCACAGTGATCAGCTGATGTCTCTGAAGAACTGGTCCTTGTACTCTGAGACCCACTAAAATCACAATTTACACTCCAAGTCCCTATCAAGTCACAAGGATCCAACCATGCATGGGACACATAGGTCATGGGAACGCCTGAATTCTGGTCAAGGATATAAGGGTTAAAGTTGACGAGGTTGTAAGAGGATCGAGAAAACCTACTGGAAGCATGATCAACCCAAGGCCGCCACCACTGCTTTTTTTTGCCCTTGGCTTTCTGTTTGTCTGCTTCTCCTAAAATAAAATATGTCCAAATATTAATTCTTATAAAGTGAAAAAACAAATTTTGAAAACCACGCTTTAACAACTCAATTGTCAAATCTAAATAAATTGCAAAAGTATATCAGAGGTCAGGAAAAAGAATTATACTGAATTTGAAAAATATACATGTAATAACAATTTCACAATATAAATACTAATTGTTCTTTTAACAGTATGCTACATTTTCACTTTTTCACAGTAACTGAGGGCTTATAAAGAAATATAAAAAAGGATGATCTGTCAAAAATACATCTCACAAAATTGAATTAATAGAAAGGAATCATCAACTGAATTTCATAGAACCATGTAGTGGTAAATAATTTGCTAAATATACATAAATTAAAATAACCAGAATTTTCTCTTGGGACTATTTTAATGCATTGTTGGAAAACATAAATTTAGTAGTACTGAATAGTACCATGCACTAGAAAAATATCATGCATTATTTCTCCATCCCCTTTCTACATGCAAGCCTCTATGAAAAGATCTTTTAAACTTCAATTTGATATAATAAATCTATAATTAGATATCATAAACATATATTTCATGGTATTTTTCATTGGGACAGGCAATAATTGAATGACATTTTATCTACTAATATTTAGGTTCCACAAAAAATATGCATAATATTCCATTTTTATATAAAATTTATAGAAATCAAAGAGAACAGTAGACTACATAGCTGTTATATGTTCTCTGAAGGAATTAATTAAGCAAACTCATGCCAATTTTCTTCAGATATAGGTATTTATGAAATAAAAACTAAACTATGTGTTTGGTAAGCTATTTTGCTGAAGAATAGTCATGAAATCATTGATTCATCAAATAAACACTTAGAAAGCAAATGAACTTATCCCACTCAAAATAGGAAAATAAAACTTTCTGAGTTAAAGAAAAAGACACACATCAATAATACTGACAGGATGAAAAGTAACAATTTATTATATATCCTACTCAATGTCATGCTATTGCTCAATTTCAAGGTACATGAGTAAAAGGAAAATGTTTTGACGTACTTTCATCATCTTCTTCAGAGAGTTTTTGGATGTCCTGGCCTTCCCCTGATTCCTGGGTCAAGCTCAGCATCCTCTCCTTACCCTTTTTGTATTTCTGTTGTCTGGCCTTGATACGATCCATCCTAGTAAATAAGTAATACCATGAATAGTAATACCATGAACACATTCCTAGTTATCATACAGTCAGCACTTTGAGCTTATACTGTCACTTATACAGCTAAAATCATGGACAAAGTAGTCAGTTTACTTTGGGCTATTTAGGAATTGTGAAATGGTTGTTTATTAGCAACATATCTCCTTGCTTTTACATATATATTCATGTGTGTGTGTGTGTACATATCCACATTATTTTATACTACATAGATGCTGGTCTTAATAATATAATTAGTAATAATTATGCTAAGCTAAGTATGCAACACATGATGTTCACTCACATCTTGTATTGTAGCCAATTTTGAACATAGCATATTATAAAATGCAAGTCCTTTATTCCTCTAATTTTTATATTCTTAAACAAATGAAAAATTCAGCAAAGTGAATTATAGTAACAGGCCTCATTTATGGGAAATAAGGAACACATTTTAAATGCAGGTCCACGTTTGTTATTACTCTAGACCTGATTTAGTCTAGAAACAACAACAGTTGTATCACACTGAATCTTTATTACATATTTATGTATAACTTATGTATTTGAGAAAATAACCATGTTATGAAATAATCTATTTTAAACCAGGAGACATTTCTGCTTGAAGAAAAAAGTTGGTAATTAAGGTCATAATGTAACAGAGCTGCCCTAGGAAACTCAGGAACTTTCCTAGTGGGCTGCTAGTGTCTCTGTCTTCTTGGGGAAGGTGTCTAGTTATCCCCAAATTAAGAAGATCACCAGTCCTCAGAGGTTCCATTCATTGCTAGAAATTTCCCTCAAAGAAAATTCTTTTCAGTGGAATTCTCAGATCTCTTGAGTGGCCTCAGTCTATCCTGTCCAGAATTATGTGGTGGGAAAGCTTTGAGCTGGAAACAGGGCAATATGGGTTACAGTTCCAGGGCTGGCTCTGGACAGGGTGTATTATAGGGCATCTAATACAAGGGATGTCATCAGTTTCTTCCTGCAGAGACTGGATTATATTATCTTGAAAGATGTTTCCAAAACTGATTCCATATTCACTTCCTTAACACACAGATGTAATGAACACTTAACTTTCAAATTCTTCCCATTCAATAAGACTCTGCCTCATCCACTAACTAGTTCAATCTTTATGGAAAATCTGAAGGTAGAATTGTAAGCCCTCATTTAAAAGCAGAAAACTGAAATTCAGAGAACTTAAAAGACCTATTTAAGGTTTTAATGTAAGTAACACAAGTAGGGTTTGATTGCTGGTCCTTTGCAAGAGAACTTCACTTTCTCACATGTTAGAGTTGTTTTTCCTTAAATGGCTTTTATTAATATTTTCAGCATCTCAGGCATGAGCAATTTCTGACACTAGAGTTTATACATGGGAAATTGTGAAAGTTGACACCAATTTTTTTTTCAAGGGTTTGAAGCTCCCTGGGAGTGGAAGGTGAGCTGAATATGGTCATATAATCAGAAAATTACAAGGTAAGGGAGAATGAGTATAAACAAAGCATCCTTACTGTCGCTTCAGCTGATCCATGGACTTTTTCTCTTCCTCAATTCTTGCCTTTACAGCTTTTACAACTGTGGCCTGGAAAAGTTCAGCCCCTCTAAAGGAAAATTGGAAACATAACCAATTAGTATTCTTATCATTCTTGTTTACCTTCCCCTGAAGACAATCACTAGGGATGAGAAAACACAGCATCCCTTTCTGGGAGCCAATCTGAACTTCATGGCTGGAGGTGGGAGTCCACTAAACCTCTTCTAGAAGTCTTGTCCTAGTAGACAAATAGGCCCCAGTTGGTCAGTGAGGAGAAAGTGTTCACCACGATGCCAAAGGCCAGAAGCCTCTTCAAACCTGTCCCACCAAATGTCAGACTTCAGTAAAGTATTACTCATCTGACCTTATTACAGTTGCACCATGAGGAAGAAATGTGCAAGAACTAAGTTTAGAGGCGTTTTCCACTCAATGAGTAGGAAAGGGAATGAAGCTGGGGCTTCCGTCCAGGAACACAAGAAGGTGAGTTTCTGCCCCAGCAGAGTCTCACTATGTTCCCCTCAGTAGACTGCTATGGCATCACAGCTCATAGCAACCTCAAACTCTTGGGCTTAAGCAATTCTCTTGCCTCAACCTCCCAAGCCAACAAATATTCTTTAACCTCTCCCAACATCTTCCATTCTGAGGCACTGTCATGCACTTGGCCAAGTTCCAAATCCATGGGGACACCCACAGTGCACCTGCCACTGTTAGCCACAGAGTCCCACAGTCCTCAGAAATTCTTCTCTTCCTCTCCAGGGGCTATTACAAAACCTTTTCTTAAATCTTTAATTCTGTCGAGTGTCTTTCACTCCTAATAAATGACCTAGCTTTCTATTTCCCAGCAAGAATATAAATCAGAAGGTGAGAAGCCCCTTGGCTTCCTGAACCTGTAGCTCCCAGGATGTCCTTCCCCTCCAGTGATGCCACTTCCCACCAACAGCCCGCTTTGTGCTTGGGGTGCCTTCCCCACCACAGCCTGAGGGACATCATCTTCCGATTATTCCTTCTTGCTTGCATTTGCTACCTGCCATTGCTGTAGGATTCTGCTCATAAATATGCAAACATGCTCAAGTCTTGCTAATCCATGTGCATCCCACATTTTCTTATGAAGACTTAGATCACTGCCCCTCAAGATCAAATGCCTTGTAGCCACTGTCTCCAACCCTTTACAAATTCAACCTCTGTTGCCAGCTGTTTGGCTTTGACCCTTGCAGTCAAGGTCACTGATTACAATGTTCCATTGCCAGGCTTATCCTTATGTAACCTATCTGATGAACTGCCACTTGGAAACCATCTTCCTCAGGCTCCCTAGGCTGTCCTTGTTTTCCGTTTTCCTTTGTGGCTCAGGGTTCTTGGTCTTCCTTGCAACCTCTCTGATGTGAATATTCCTAAGGTCTTTCTCTCATTCTTCAGTCCTTCTCTCGAGACAGCTCCAACTCACCTGCTCCAATTCCCTCTGTGTCATCACAGCCCTCAGTCCATGCTTGTCTCCAGACCAGTCCCCTCTGCTGCTTGCTGGACTTCCCAGCTGGTTGAATTTCACATGCCCACAGAACCTACAATTCCACGCTGTGGTCAGTCTTCTCTCCTCCTATAGCTTTTTAGACCCTCTATGTTTGGGATCAGCACCATGATTTGTGTAAGCAGAATCCTGGGCACATCGGACTCATCTCTTTCTGTCATCGTCTCCCTTCCTGCCAAGTGACTTTCCAGTGGCACCAATTTTACCTGACATATAGCTTTCTAATTTGTCTCATCTTGGTCCCAGCTATTTTTTCTTATTTGTTTTTTATTTTTACTTATTTTTTTCTCTTGTTTTTATAGATTTAGGAGGAACAAGCACAGCTTTGGTACATGGGTATAGTGCAGAATAGTGGTGAAGTCTGGGCTGCTACTGGGACCATCACCTGAATTGTGTGCACTGTATCCATTAAATAATGTTTCATTCTATGTCTATCCTGGATCATTACAGCAGCTGCCACTTGACTGTCTCTCTTCCTACAGAGCTGTTTCTACTCCTTCTGTTCTCCACACAGGAGCAGAGTGAGCTTTCTGAAATGCAAACTTTCATGCCACTTTCTGGCCTTCCTGTTCTCTGTGGGATCACTCCCAAAGTTACAAACATGGCTCCAGTCCCTCACGCTCTGGCTTTCCCAGCCACTCCAGCTTATTCCTCACCACTCTCTGTCCTCGCTTTCAAATTTCAGTGTGTCAGCCACTCTGAGATTCTTATGGCTTCTCAATGAGAGCTTTCCTCCACTTCTTCCTCAAGCCACCTCCCCTACTTTCCTCCTTTAACCCTGTCTAGCCAGCCTTTAGATGACAGCTGGGAATGGAAGGCTATCCTGGTCCACGCCCTGGTGGTGGGCTACACTCCCCTGATATGACCTCCTAGCTCCCCAGGTATCTCCCACCATCACACTTGTTAAAGTTTGAATGTTTGTATCCTCCCAAAATTCATATCTCGAAATCGTAACTCCCAAGGTGATGCTACTATGTATTAGAGGATGTGGACTTTGGGACACCAGGGCTCCTGGATTACTGCCCTTATAAAAGATGCCCAAGGGAGAGCTCTTGCCCCTTTCACCATGATAGGAGACATTGAGAAGCTGACTGTCTATGATGAAATGGGCCCACAACAGATGCAGAATCTCCTAGCACCTTATCTTGGACTTCCCAACATAGAAAAAACTCATATTGTTTAAAAGCTACCTAGTTTATGGTATTTTTATTGTGGCAGCCCACACAGACCGACACAATACTAATTACACTGTATTGTGATTTGCTGTTTGTGTGCTATCTTCCTGCTAGTCTGTAAACTCTGGGGTAAGCATCCACCTCTTTGTAAACCTGTAATACAGTGGGCAATGAACAGATGAATGAATGAATAAATGAATGTGTATTCTTTGGAAATGCCATTGTGAGTTAAATCTTTACTAAGTCATGGCTTTTCTTTATTGAGCATAAGCTGTACTCTGAACCGAAGCCATCACCGTTACTGGAACATGAAGGACATACTTTCTAAATAACTGTGACAACCTTAGACACTAACTTCCTATTATGTCCTGGACTTCTAAGGACCAAACATTTTGGGAAAGGCAAAAAAAAAACATTTACCTACAGAATCACTTATAGTTGCTATAAGTAAATAAGGTTAATACTGGGATAAGATACTACACTCTGTTCTGAAAATTATGTCCTGGGTATTAGAAAATGATTATAATGGTAAATCCAGGGCCAATACTGTATACCATATGAAGTCATTATTCCTCTACATAAGGAGGGCAAGGGTGCTACAAGGTTCCTGGGATTAAATGAAGATCCCCTTCCCTGGTCTTTTTCTAACAGGCTCCAAGTCAGATAACAAAGGCTGGCAATTGCCCTCATATAGACAGACTTTTGAAATAAACATTTTGCATATCGTTTGATTCTGCTGGAAAGAATTTCTTAATTTCTTGTGAGCTCTACAAGCAAGCTCAGACAGAAAGCACAGTGCATTTCGACTTTCAGGCAAGGTTCCTAAGAAAAACTACTGATGTCATGGCCTGACCCACCTTGATGCCAGGATCTGTGAAGCTTTTATGTCAGCGACAACATGTAGGAAATAATAGCTCATGAAAACTCTTCTTTGCAGCAGGAGGAAGGCAAAACATATGCTGTCCCAAATAATGCCTGCTTCACCACTGGGTAGTGTACAGGGTGAATTACCATCAGCTATGGCAATAAAATAGAAAAAAGAAAACAAATTAAATTATCATCTATTTCTATTATTATTTTATAAAATCTAGGGTATGGTCAGGCTTGGGAAATCATATAGGCAGAAAAGCAGCATTCTGATACACTGACTAGCTTATGAGTTGATTCATTTATAAGGAGGCCACACACTTGAAAAACAATATTAACAGGGATTCCTAATGTTGACTACCTAGTGAACTTGATACTGTGGGCTGCTTTGACCTGGAGGCCTCCTGAGTATTTCTCTTAGAGAGAAAGGGATCTTAGCAATGGCCATGGAGAAATAATGTCCAAATATCAGAGGAAATGTTTTGATACAAAAGAAAACACTCATTTTGGAAATAGGCTCTACTTAGGAGCAACCAGCATAACATACACAGTGTGGTCTATCAGAAGAAGTATTGATGGCACTTCTTATCATAAGTATAAAACAAATTCCCAGCAACGTTTCATTCTCAGAACACAGCCTGAATTAGAAGCCATCATGGGGAGGGTATGGTGTCCAAGGAGCTCCTACTGTGGGCTGCTGGGAGATTATATGTGATATCATCCTGGGTTCTGGTGCAACAGGCAGGGTGCCATGGCACTGCGACCTGTGTCTTAGCAGGAGTCAAATTATAGCATGCCCAGGGCTTCTCCCAGCTACTTTTCAGGGGTTGACATTCCCTGAACTCCCTGAGCAGAGAAGGGCCTGGAAGTTACCTTGATGACTCAAGATTCTAATGGGAACAACTACAGGTACAGGTTTCAATAGGCTTCTGGAATACTTGCTACCCTAACTCAAAAAAGTCCTGGGAGTTACTATCGAACAATACCAAACCCCCAGACTTCAGATCCAAATCATCAAGGTTTGGAGAGTGTCTAGAAGATGACTGTCACTATGCCTAGCACAGTGAAACCTCATGTTATGAACATCAGGTTCCTAATGGAGTATAGTTCTATGGCCTCCATCTTGACACAGAATTGACCTCTACTTTTATCTCTTTTCCTCGTGTGCTTTGGTTCAATTTTTAAATTAGAACAGTATGACTGTCCTTCCTTTTCTGCTATTCTACTCCCAAATTTGCTCTTCACACTTACGCATTTGGTAGCCTTTGACTGTGCAGGCCAGGCTGAAAGCTTGGATGAACCAGCAACTATTTTTAACCAGTGTTGTAATGTATCCACATGCTCCTATCTGGAAAACAAAAGGGAGGGCAAATACTAAAAATCTGCACCCAGAAAAAAGGTTTGATAATCTTGTGATGCCAACATGTGCAAGATTGATAAGGTCTCAGTGCTAATAATTATAGGAGGTACCTAAAAATTCAGTCACATGTAGCAGTGCTTCAGGATGTAAATTCCTGGGGGAAAATTAAATCTTTTGATAAAGATAGTAAAGGGAGAGTCCTTAGTGGAATGCTTTCTGCCCTTGGAAGCCCCTCTCTTTCCAAAGGGGAAATCTTGGACTGTTGTGCTCTGTGGCTCTGTGACAGTGGATGGGTACATGCCGAATGCTGGGACTCTGATTTTGGTAGTTATTTTCTCAGAGGCCAGACAAATTCAACCTATGCTGTTCCCCAGGAAAGCATCCTAGTCATAGCTCCAGTGTCTTAGGATAGGAATGCGATACGTGATTTTAGCCTTGCCTGGTCACTTCTCTGGGTAAGGGAATCCATTGCCTTTATTGGCTGCCATTTCGCTACCTCATAACAATGAATTTCTTTTTACAGTTATGCTAACTTCAAATCCTCAGAGGGAAAAGTATAAACACACATTAATCACTGTACACCAACATAAAGGTGATGGCTGAATTGTGAATATTTCCTGGAACAGGTGAAGTAGGTGAAAATCATTAGGTTGTTTCACGGCAGTGGTGACTCAGCATGGGTTTCCCAAACCTGGGTACATGCTGCTGGAGCCAACATTCCAATCCTATACTATCATGCTTTTGTTCTAGTCATCTAGGCTAGGAATTACCTCCCCCTTTTTCTCCCTGGAAACCCTTCAATCTATTTAGGAATCTCTGATGTGTTCAAATGGAAACGCCTCCAGGAAGCCTTTTCCCAACTGATCCAGGCCTCAGATATTAGGCATTTATTTTGTTTGTTTGTTTTGAGATAATTGTTGAGATAATTATCATTAACAGATTATATTACAATTATTTACAAGACGGTCTAGCTTCCCTTTAAGAATATAAGTTCCTTAAGGTTAAAACCAGAGTACTATTTGTCTCTAATTCTTTAAGATATAAAACAGGGCTTAGTAAAGAAGAGTGTTACAGTATAGCACTCTTCATTACAGAATAAATGAATGAACTTTACATCCCCACCTTTTTCAGAAATGGCTGTGAGGTCAGCCTTCAGCAGTGGGTCCTTTACCATCAGACTACTTTCAGAATGAAATGGGTTTCTATTGTCCTATCTCTTGCTTTCTCCAACAAATCTCACTACTACCCTATGGTAAGTTAATGTCAGTGGGGCAAAAGTTCAACATTAAAGTCACTTTCACTAGAAAATTAACCTTCAAATACCTATTCATGGTTATGCAGAGTTGGCTTTCCAGACCTTTAAATATATGCAACCCCCACCCCTAAAAAACAAAGCGCTTTCATAGTCAAATCACCTAGTGAGGTCATCTTTAAGCTGCTAGGAAGGGGTGCAGCAGAGAATCATTACATCCCTGCCCTTTCAGCCCACTCTCAGTCACAGCCTGTGAGAAAGGGGCACAGGAATGAACTTTGGGTCAATGAGAGAGCTCTTCACTTCTTCACTTATTATGTCATTTCCTACAGAATAACTTAAATGGTGTCTCTGTGGCCTGAATGACTGATGCACTCTGGGATAACTAGTGGGCAGTGTGTCATCTGTCATATAAGTGGAAGAGTTGTGCTGTGCCCTGAAACATCACTGTTTAATAGAGAAGGAGACAGATGTGGTAAGGGAGGAGGGGTGTGTTCTCTCAATCCTATGTTATTCTAGCTGTGCCCTCCTCTGGAAGTCCGCAATCAGAGGAAACCAGCAAACTTTTTTTTCTCCTGCATCTTATGGGGACATAAAGCATTCCTGTCTGCAATAGTCTGTTAGCCTGTTAGCCTGTTCCATCTTGACCCCACGCTCCCCCCACCACAGTGTTAAAGGGAACTATGCTCATTTCATTTTAAACTTCCACAATTTCTTCCTAGGTAAGAGAGTTGCCTTTTTCCAACATGATATAAATTTTGAAAAGATTCATTGATTTTTTTATTCGGCTTGTTACAGAGCTACCTCATCACACATGCCATGAGCGATGACAAATTATTCCTCAGAAGGGATGAAATTTTAATTAATGAAAACATTTTAGCATTTGTCCTTATGAGTACATATCCATTAGTCATGTGACCTTGAAATGTATAAATGAACAATAAGGATCCTGTTTAATATGGCAAAACAAAGAGTAACAAATGATCATTCAAATTTTGAGTTTGCAGTATCTTATTTGGTGCTTCTAAGAGAGAATGTGACAGGCTCTGGGCTTTTAATAACCAGAGTGGATTGTTTATTCTTACGCTGAGAACACAAATGTCTTATATAGTGGGAGCCACTTACTGACAGGATGTTTTTCATGGTAATCACAAACACGTTGTATGCAATCAGCCAGTCCCAATAGCGCAGGATGCTCTTAATGGGTTTCAATAGCAAATCACCCCCAAAGAGCAGGAAATAGAAACAGGCCACCAAGTAACCCATGCAAAATATGCTGATCCTGGTCGTCCCAGTGATGAAGATGATGGTAAGAACAAACCAGAAGAGGTAGCTGAAGATGATCACTTTGGACATGTCTAAGTAGGATCTGGAAAAGAAAACCGAACAATAAAAGGACAAGAAAACAAACAAAAAGACAAAATCAGGAGATTCTACCTAAAAAAGGGAAAAACTCACAATTAATCCTGGACTGTGTATGAAAGTACTCTGTAGGCCATACTGAGCTCTTACTCATTTTTCATTTAATACTGTGTTATAAGGGAAACTCTCATATAAATAGCAGTGTACTAATATATGAGTCATGGAAACACTGAGCATGTGCTTGCCATCATCTCACACAGGCCTACGTTCGCAACAAACACTGATATTTTCTGACCACCACTTGAATACTCAAAATTCCTTTGCATCTTTCTATGGGAGGTCTGTATACCAGGTGTACCAAAAAAATGTTTAGACATTTAAAGCAATCTTATTGGAATAGACGTGTGTGGCATGTCTAGGTACACTTGACTAGTATTAGTACCTTCAATTCAACTGTAAAAAGTAATACATAGATATCATCTCTTAAAATGTGTATACAGTTTTGGCGTTGTCTGTAAGGGTATGGCAAAAGAAATCTTGCAGCAATCTGGGAATCAAATCGCTACACAGTGGGCTGGAGGTTCCTCTGTAAGTGGGAACCTTACCTGACCAGCTGGGGTCTGGCAGACAAAGGGAAGAAGGGCTAAGAAAATTACACACACAAAGTGCTCTGACCCATGAGGGATGACACTGTGCTAGCCCTTCACGGGGCTAACAGGTCCTGTGTTCAGGACTCAGAGCTATTTATTTAAAAAATTGGGGGCATGTTTTTACAAGGCAAAAAGTGAAAAGGCAAGAGCTTCATGCTTCAATTATACAGGCAGTTCTTTGTTTAGGGGAGAAAGTTGTCAGGCTGAAGGACAGGGGAGTGCTGAGCTACAAATCAAAGAATACTTTGGGGGAAGGATAAGGAAGTGAAGTTATAGCCTTCAGGTCAAGGCGCCTGAGGCTGCGGGTATCTGTGGGGCAACTGTCAATTCCTTTCTAGTTTCATTTATAACTTTGTCTCTAAGCTGTTGATCTCTTACTAGACATATCCCAGACTACTTTCTTATCTGCTCTGCTGGACATTCCAACCCTCCTTTGCCAGCATAGTTGTGCAATGCAAAGGATGAACTGAAACTCAGGGCCATAACCTGCTTGAGATTTCAGGGAGGAATGCCTAGCTTTTGCCCACAAAATTCTAAGATACATATGCCTCCTGGCTAGGCAGAAAAGTTAAGAATGGATTCCTTTTGGTGAATTAGAAGTTAATAGATTAAAATAAATCCCCATGTCACATAAAAAGGTTTTATTAGAGATGCACCTCTCTCCGTACAGGTAGGAAGCAGTTCAGATGAAGCAGACATGGCTACCGAGGGGCTTTTGGCCCTTACTAACATTCTGCTTTGGCTGTCCCTGGGTTGAGTCAGAATTCCCTTTTGGAGTCCACCCTTCCCTCATGACCTTCTTGAAGCAAGGCCAGTGCTCAAATCTCAGCTGTCTTTTAATAACCAGAAGCTCTAGAGCAGTGTGGTCACTTTTACCTGACAGGAGACAAACCTATAGGCCAAGTCCCCTCTGCATTTGATTGATTAGAGCTTCTTTATTTAGGGGGTTTTGCTTTGGTGCTTTTCTCTTGCCAGGTTTAAGAAGAAGCATAGGAGAACCAATTCTGGATTAGCTCTTTGATTCATGGGCTGTCATTTTGCATAATGCTAATAAGTAATCTCTCCATAAAATGTGTACTCACTTGACCTATCTAGCATTATCAGAGAAGGAGTTAGAGTTGTGCCCTAACCTAATGGTACATTATTCAGAGAAGTGAACTTTTGACCTTTATTATTTCTAGAGTAAAATATTAAAATATTTTCATAATTTTTTCCAAAAATATTTCACACCCTTCTGTGACTTCATAACTGAATAAAAGTGAATAAAATATCAGTATTTCTCTGTATGTCAGGATCATCCCATGTAAAGTTAGTGATTCAGTTGAGCCCTCAGGGCCTTCTGAAGGATGTGTGGTTTGAAGCAATGCGACTGGGCCGCTGGCACTTCCCAGCATGTGTGTGCATGCACTGGGCCTTTCCATGCACTTCCTTCCTTGTCTGCCATTGCAGGTTAATTCCTGCTCTAAGAGCCCTGGCCTCCGCGCCTCATCACTTACCCAGGAATCATAAAAGTAAGCTCAAGAGGGTGACATGGGGAACACCAGCAAAGGTGCTCTGGAGAGGAGGCAGAGGGGCCCTGAGCAGACAGACCAAGCCCTGGTGAGGGGTGTGGTTGGGGCCTCCTAACTGTCAGTGTTTAGCTTCCTAGAGGGTCTGGGCTGCTGGGGTCTGAGCCCTGCAGAGGGAGAAGGGCAGGGTGGCCAGGCTACCGACAAGCAAATGTGCATGCCATCTTACTACTGTGGTACTTGACACCGGCGGTCCTTAGTGAGAAACACATCTAGAAATTTAAAATAGCTAAAAAATAAAAATTTTAGCTTAATAAATAAATGGCACACAAACTTCACAAACTTTTCATTTCAGTTATTTTTAGGTTTTAGGCACTTGATTTACAAATAGGATCTTGAAGTCTATATGACATATCATATTTTTGCAAATTAACTTACTGATTGTACATACTAAAGCAGTAAAGTGCTTAAACATTCAGATTTAGGAGCTAGATTACCTGGGTTCAAATCTCTATGTTGCTGTTGCCTATATCTGACATCTCGGCTATGGGTTTCTCATCTACTAAGTGAGGACAATAATACCACTGACTCATAGGTGGTCACTGGGGTGAAATGGTTTAATACCTACAAAGCCTGAAGCAGAACATGGTACAAAGTATGCATTTAGTAACTGCCATTACATGCATTGTAAGCCAACAACTATAAGGGTAGGGAAATACAGACATGTACAAAAATAAGTTAAAAGTACTTTTTGGCTAAAGTGCCTTCACCTTAGAAGAGGGGACAAGATAGGTTCTTAAAATAACGACTTCAGGCAGAGGGAAATTTACACCATATGGGCTGGACGCTCTAGTAGGTGAGAAGCTGCAGAGTGGCTCTGGAGTGGAGAGTGGGCCTGGCCTGACTTCAGCTGTGATCTGCCCCCCTGTGGAGTGCACAGGCTGGGACTGTGTGGAGGCCTCTTTTCACAGCCTCATGACAGCACAAAAGGGCAGAGACAGTCAGGGTAGGTGCTCAGTTCCTAGTCACACAGACAGGAGAGGAGCCACAAGAAGCCACAGCAGCCTCCTCAGGCTACCACAGTGGTGCTGAGTGGAGTTTTAAAGGCTTCCAAGGATGGGAAGAGCCAATTGCTGAGGAGAGTAGGTGTGCCCTCCATGAAGAGGGCATTGGGCAATAAAAGCACCGCATGAAAATGCAGAGGGTTTGCAGAGGGAGTGAATGCATAGTGAGAAGCTGAGCAGGTTTATATACAAACATTGGAAAAGGGACAATCAGGCTGCCCAGATCAGCTGTCCAAGGCTGAGGAGGACAGCAGAGGACTGAAAAGGTGCCATGCAGGGAGCCAGGGCTGGCCACAGAGGAGACACTGCTCCATGGGAGCACAGGCAGGGTAAGCTCCAGGGACCCACCTTCTCAGTCCTCTGAATACTGGAAATGAGGAAGTGGGATAGGGAGGGGAGAAGGGAAGCAGAATAAGGAGGATGGAGGTGAGGAGCAGGGACAGGGGATAGGGAGGATGGACAGAAGGTGAAAAGGACAGATGGAGGATGAGGGATGGTGATGAGGAACAGGGACAGAGGATGAGGAGGAAAGATGAAAGATGAAGAGGAGGGACGGGGTGAGGAGGAGGGATAGAGGATGAAAGTCAAGGGTGAAGGGAGGAGGGGGATAAGGAGGCATGAAGGATGAGGAGGAAGATGAGGGAGAAGGATGAAGGATGGAGGATGATGGATAGGGAATGAGGAGGGATGGGATGAGCATTAGGGACGGAAGATGAGAAGGATGAGGGGTGGAGAGTGAAGGTGAGGTCTCTCCTTAGAAGAGCTGCAAACTGGTATTGGCACAAGTCAGTTTCTGTATGAAGAGAAGGAATACTGAGGTCATGATAAGGTGGTCCGTGCTGACAAAGCAGATGTGGGGCTATAACTCAGGCCCAGCTTCCAGCCACTAAACCACACTGTCACGCATTTATTAGTTTCACTGAGCACAAGTCAGGTGATCTGCTTCCCCGGTATAGCAGAGAAAGAATTTCCACAGAGAGCCATCAAAGTAAAATGCACAAAGTAAAGTCACTTTTAACAAGCATGAAGCTGTTGTTACCTGCAGTGAATGAAGTCTGGTACGGGGTTATGTTGGCTGAAGGAGGCTGCGTCAAGGTTCATGCAGATCTCCACATTGTCCCCTGCCATTATGCGCACTGCAGCTTTGTTCTCATCCTCAAAAATCTGCCGTTGTAAAGAGGCACACAGGAGCAGCATGAAGTCATCTGGCAAGAACAACGTGAGGTCATTAGGCCACCTCCTCCCCTCAGGTTTACACAGAACAGCCTACCCTCCCACAGTACAAGCTGCACTCACCCTTAGAGAGTTATGTCCCTACAGTTCATAGTAACGGCTTTCCCAGGTTCCAATGTTGTGGCCAAGTCATCTTCGCTACCTAGAGGGCCAGAGAATGACCCAGACATTCCAGGGGCTCACAAAGGGGGAGTGTTTGGATTTTATTTGCACATTGGCAAATTAAGGTGTTAGGTGATAATTACTAGTCTTCATGAGTCTCTCATGGGATAATGTTTATTTGCATTTCTTTCCTGCCAGTTTTGAGATTTCTCCATTTTTCTTTTTATATTTTCACACACAGCAGATGCAGGCATTTCTGTTTTTCTTTATTCTCCCCATCCCCTCTTGCATTAGTAACTCAAGACTATTCCTGAAGGTGTGTTGAGAGCAGGTGGCAATGGCAGGCCAGGCTATGTGAGTAGAAGGCAGCCTGAGAGAGCATTTCTCAATAGCACAGGCCTCAGGCCAAGCCTGCCTGGCAGCCTGCAGCACCAGTTGCTTCCTTGTTTTTAAAATTAAACCTAAATATGTTTAAGCAGGGCCTTTACTCTTGGGTTTTCCACAGCACCCAGCACTCTCTATCATCTTGGGGAGCTGCTGTGACCCATGGATCACCAGCTGCCCTGGGCAAGTCAGCTCTAGAACAGCAAAGATTTGGGCAGCACCCTCCTAGCTTCCACAGCCCTACCTTTAGGTTTACTCTGTCTACACTGGAGGCCAGAAACCACTGAGTTGCAGCACAGGAGGCCTCCCCCTGTGGATTGCCTTTTAAAAAGTGTGTTGGGGGAAGGGTGCTGGAATGTGGAATCATGCAAGTGAATACAGTATCCAATGCTGACTTATTAATTTTGCAAATGTAACAGGGCAAGTATAAGCCATTAACAACTTGTGATATTAATGCATAAGGACAAGCCTTTACATGACTGTAAGTCTGGGGGAAGACGCAAAGGCACTAATGCACAACACGTGAGGAGTAATTAGCAATAAACCCGATTTCCAGTGCTCTGTGGCCCTGTGGCTGAAACACTTACAGACGAGAAACACAGGGTTGGGCCGCACAATGAAATCTGGGAAGTACAGCCACTTTATGATGTTGTCGTTGAAGCTGGCACCCTTGAATCTCCACGGGTAGTCTGCAGGGAGGGAAGTGGTAAACAGAACAGCACAATCAATACTCTCATCGCTCTTCTCTGGGCTGTCCACATAGTAATGGCTGCTTCTAAAAGCAGGCAGCTCCAGGAAGGGCATGCTCACCTCGGCAAGGAGCAGGGGGGATGCCGATGCAGATGAAATACTGGAAAGTGATGATGCATGCCAGGAAGCAGCAGTACTTGGGCCAGACCTCTGCGATGGCTTTTCTTCTGCGTCGATATAGAACAGCGATTAGCCAGCAGGCATGAATCATGGCATAGAAATCCATTCGCTGGCCGATCACATTCACTGACAGTAGGAAACAGGTCTGTGTAAGGATGAGAAGAGGCAGAAAATCGGGATTACAGGGAAGGGGATCGGTGCCAGGTGGCAGGCCTGTCCAGGCAGTGGAGACCTATGTTCTCAGGGCAGGTCTGTCTGCACAGGGCACCCAAGGCTTGCTCTTTTGAGTGTCATTTAGTGTGAAGACAGAAATACTGTTCAGATTACTTCCAAGGGAAAAACTGACTATGTCACCATTATCATAACTACTTCACACAATGAAAAGAACAACTAGGCTCTCTTCATCCAACATCACTGTTCCAAATTCATTCTACTGATATTCAATCATTAGCACAACAATTTCAGGTTAAAACAGTCCATTCTGACTGCAGGTTATACTTTCAGAATGCACAAAAAGAAAGAAGATTAATAATATTTTATTCTTAATGAGTTAGCATGACAACTGATGTCCATGTGTTTAGGTGGCTTTTGAGATCCAGAGAGGCCAATGCAGTGCTGTGGGGTGGGAGGTGAGTAGGGGGAGGATTGGTACTTGGGAAACTTTCAGACAAGCCCATTTAACTCATCAGTACAAACACTTTTTGCTGATCTAGAAGAGATAGTAATCATGGCCTGGAGATGTAATAAGGAAGCTCCTGTGGCCAGATGGCTAAAGGTAGCTATTGACTTTTCACAGAAAAAAAAAAAAAAAAAAGAAAGAAAGAAAACATGTCAGCGTGTAAACTCACCTCTAGACCAAATTTATAGAAGAAGTAATTTATGAAGTATTTGGCACAATTAATAATTCCATCATCTAGATGTAGTCTTGTAATGTCATGAAAGATAGTTTTAGATACAGGGGCTGTAAGGTTATTTCGACCTCGATAGTATTCTTGATGGCGGTAAATTGTGACTTCAAAGGCCAGAATAGCCAGCATCAGGAGATTATTCTACAAAACAAAAGAACATAGTTGTGTACACCTAATGTTTTATGAATTGGTAGTTCTAAGCTATCTCCATAATAAATCATTGTATTTAATTCTTGATGTCTAAAAGGATAATGCTATATAAAATCCTGCCTCTGTTAAATATAATTTTGAGCTCAATGTTCATTTTCCTTACTTATTGTGGAGATCTACTATGTGAGTCAGCTAACTTCCATGGTAACAGGAGCTAGAATCTCTAGACACAAGGCTGCCACTTCTCATTCCTATTACTCAAAAAGCACACGCCACACAACCACAGAAGAAGCAGTTTTCAGTTATCTAAGGAGAAGGGCCAAACTTGTTTGCAAGTGGGAAACAGAACATAAATTCTGGGAAACACATCAAACTGGAAAATGGGAAACTAGTTAGGAGGAAATTTTTGAATACTCCTGAAATCTGGCTAGAGAGAGAAGTAAATTGAGAAGCATGCCAATGATGGTAAAATAGTTATAATAGTGTAATGAAAATAGTTTTCATTTATGAAACTGGTTCATTTATGGAACCATAGGCATCAGACATGATTCTAATCAACTTTTCTAAATATTATTTTGTTTTATTGTTATAATAGCTATTTATGGCAGACACTATTTTATTTTTTTAGAGACAGAGTCTCACTTTGTTGCCCTTGGTAGAGTGCTGTGGCATCACAGCTCACAGTAACCTCTAGCTCTTGGGCTTAGGTGATTCTTTTGCCTCAGCCTCCTGAGTAGCTGGGACCACAGGCTCCTGCCACAATGCCCAGCTATTTTTTGTTGCAGTTTGGCCAGGGCTGGGTTTGAACCCGCCACCCTCAGTATATGGGGCCGGCACCCTACTCACTGAGCCACAGGCACTGCCCTATGGCAGACACTATTAAAAAAGATTCTACCATATGAGGAAAAATCGAAAATTGGTTTTTATATAAAGAAAATAGGATGTTTACTACATTTCGAAATCCCACGTGCTGAGTATATAGGTTTTACTATTGCTAAGTGCAATATTGTCAGTGTAATATGATTAGGGTTGCTCAGATTATCCATCAAAGTAAATGTGAAAAAATATGAAATATATTGTTTTCATTATGACTATACAACTATTTGCAATCAAAGTTCCTTTTGCAAAGATTTGGTTTATTATTTCTAAATGTAATATATGTTCTTCATTAAAAATTACTGAGAAATAATTCAGATAGCAAAAATTTCATGTAATCCACTTCTCAGAAATCATCACTACTGACTGTTTGGTTTTGTTTCCCAGAATTTTTCTTTGTGTCTAGAAGAGATAATACACACTTTATTTTGAGATCTGCTTTTCTTGGTTGTTGTTTTAACTGAACAGTATGTTTTAGACATGTTTCAATTCTAATGTGCCCACTGGCATCAATCTTGTAATGGTTATAAAATGTTTCACTGAAGGTTTTTGTCATATTTTATTCAATCAATCTTAGTCAGCTTGGACATTTTCTCTTAGCGCAATGGAATACTGACTTTAACATTTAGAATTTGTGGCAAAGTGATTCCAAATGCTCATGAGAAGATGGGATTACTATCAGTGGTGACGTTAAGAGCCACAAGGAAAAGGATTCCAAACTTTGATAATGTGGAGGTTCAAATTAACACAGAAAAGTCATTACCCTCAGGTAGACCAGCAAAGGAGAAGACTTCCGTAGGCCAACCCACTCTGTTGGGTCAATTGGAGCGCTGTAGAGTAAAGACTTGTTCAGGTCTTGCAGGAGTATGTTTGTTTGATTCTCATTTGGCTGAAAAGAAGAGAAAATGGAGTAAGAAATGGTTCCATAGATTAAAAGAGTTCAGATCATTCTCCTTTAGCTTTGAGCAAAGGGACACTGTGGGATAGGGGAAGGAAAGGCCCATTTCAAAGCAGAAATCCCAGTATAAGAGGAAATGCAGGTCCAGCACACAGAATTGGAATATATCCAACCAGGATGAAGTGACTCATAAACTAGAAAGAATGTGGGGATGCAGATTGCACAGGTATCTGCCTCACTTCCCTAAAGGGAAATCAGGAATATTCCCCCATCATAGAGGCTCACCAAGGAACAGTTAACAGAAAAGTTCTCAGGCTTAATGGTTTGGAGCTGGTACAACATTTTGCAGACGATGATCACACATGTCCAAACAGTACAGATGCTTGAAGCCAGACGACGTAGCTTCGCGTATGGCAGAGCAAAAGCCCAAGAAATCAAAAATACATAGTTGAACAGAGATACCTGAAAACATAAAATCAGAAATGGAGACAAAAATATGTAATATGGCATAACTCCCACAGAATAGAACAACTTGATTTATGCAGTTCAGCAAAGGCTGGTTAAGATCCTAGCATGTACAAGGCACTGCCCTAGGTACCGGGGGTACTGAGGTAAGTGATGTATAGTTTCACTCCTTGAGGACATTATGTCTTGTATGACAGACAGACATATGCCTATAACATCAATATGACACAGCAATGGTTGAGCTACAGACATGGGCAGGCCCCTGAGAGAGCACCCAGAAGGGTCCTTAGTCTATCGCAGAGGTTCAGGAAGCATTTTCTGAAAGAAAGGTGGAAGTGTATGTCAGGTAAAGGACACTTGAGCAAAGGCAGGAAAGCAGGAGCAAGCATGGTAGGGAAGGGTAACTGCAAAACAATGGAGAATTTAGAGTGGCAAGTGTGAAGTGTGGCAGGAGGCACAGCTGTAGGTTTTCACACCATGCTACAGCACAGGAGCCCATTCTTCAGAAGACAGAGCACTAGGGAAGAGCATTACACTGGGGAACTGGAAGGCAAGTTTGTCTCTAATTGAGAGAAATGTGTCCATGGAATGGAAGGTTGTGCTGTGAAGATTAGATGTGATGTCAGGAGACCAGCTCATGAGCTGCTGCAGTGGCCCCAAAGATGAGGCAGGCATTTGTGATGGGAAGTGAAATGAGCTAGACTGATAGACTGGCTTGCTGGTAGTGGGGAGGGAAGTAAGGGAGAAGTTGCAGAGAGTGACTCTGGTGTTTCTATGTGGGAGCTGAGTGGCTGACAATGCCATTACTGATGGGCGACACTGAGAGGGCAGCTGGTTCAAGGAGGGAAGGCAATAACTTCAGCTTGAACATGCTGCCTTTGGGCTGTGTTTGACCTTACTGATCATGCAAGATATCTCCCCATTTCTAGTGACTCTCTGTAGCTAGCAGTTCATTGAGCAATATGAAAGCACTTCATCTTATTCAGACATTGAAATACTCATTTATTCTGAATGTGGTTAAAGTAATACCCTAGGGACAGTTAATATTATCAGGTGGAAATAATTATATGCACTCAATTGAGAAAACAGAACATGTATCACATGATAATCACTGTGGTTGGCTTATAAAACTCTAAAACAAGAATATGTGGAGATTTCATGACAGCGTTTAATTCTGCTATTCATTACCTGCTACTCTTCTAGTTAACTGTAAATGTCTAAGGCAAGGGACTTCTTTCAGAATATAAGCTCTGAAATATTAGAGTAGGAAGAGTTGCCTTACAGTATTGAGTATGAAAGAAATACTGGGCGAGGGAGTGCTCTGTAAACTATTAAATCAGTTATAAGCATAATACTTTTATGTTAAATACATTTTGATTAGCTCATTGACTTTATTTCTTAGTCATCAGCAAGGGTCATAACAATTTGGATGTTAAAAAGCAAGTCTTATTAAAGATACTGTGGGGAATTGTGGGAAGATGGATGACTAGAAGCAGCTTTCATCAGAGGCTCATGCCCACAGGGAGAGCTATTGGACTGAAGTGCATGGAAGCCAAATGTGAGGCACTCCACACTGAGAGGACTATGTGAGGTACACATCACCCATGTTGAATCAAGCAGCAGAAATAAGAAAGTGGAAGAAAAACAAAAGGTATGAGCTCAGCTCCCAGAGGGAGACCCCAAACCCCAAAGAGAGCTCCATGGTGGGTAAGAGAATTCAAAAATCTGCTACCTTAACCCACAGGAGAGCAGTCACTAAGTCCCTGTATTCCTTCATTACTGAGGTCTCACCACTGAGCCTAGGCCCCATTCTGTCTGGCACAAAAAATCCCAATATTTCTCCTGCAATCTTAAGCACCCAGATTACCCTTCCCCCAACCTAGTTGGCAGAAGGACTGTACCCTGTAGAGTCCCGAGTGTTTGCCAAGCTCTGGAAACTTGGAAAGTCTACTGGCTACTGAGCTACAGTGTGTGAACAGTAGTGTGGCAGTCTGAATTTTGGCAGGGAAGAGTGAACTTCCCACCTCCAACTCCTCAGGAATTCTCAGGCAGATTAGTTTTCTGCCCTCCAGGACAACTTCTGAGCTCCATTGAGTGGGCAGGGCCAGTGCTTAAATGACTTTGACTTTTGACTGAACTTTGGACCTGCCCCTTCTACCAGGTAAGGCTCTCTGAGCAGGACCAGATAGGCAGGCCAGTGTCTAAGTGACTTTGGACTGAACTTTGGATCACTGGACTCTGCCAGGTGAGGCTCTCTGGGGTGGGTGTGACTGGAGTTTAAGTGACTTTGAACTGAACTTTGGACCTCCGGCCTCCACTAGGCAGGGCTCTCTGAGCTCAATTGGGTGGGAGAGGTCAAGGTTTAAGTGACTTTGGACTGAACTTTGGATTAGTACTCTCCACCAGGTAAAGGCTCTCTGAGCTCAATTGGGTGGGGGACCCAGGTTCCTGAGTGACTCTTATTTGAACTTTAGACCTGTGCCCTCCACTGGGAGGAGCCCTGAGCTTGACTGGGCAGGTAATACCTGGTGCCTGAGTGACTTTGAGCTTTGGGCCTATACTGTCCACAGAGCTGGGGCCCTCAACACTCAGTTGGCTGGATGGTGCCCAGTGCATAACAATAGATGCCACAGAAATACAAAAGATTCTCAACAGTTACTACACAAAACTCTATTCCCAGGAATATGAAAATGTACAGGAGATGGACCAATATCTGGAAGCACGATACCTTCCAAAACTCAGCCAGAAAGATTTAGAAATCTTGTATAGACCAATATCAAGTACTGAAACAGCATCAATTATAAAAAATCTCCCAAATAAGAAAAGCCCTGGATCAGATGTTTTCACACCAGAATTCTATCAAACCTTCAAAGAGGAACTAGTTCCTATAATGCATACACTTTTCTAAAATACAGAGAAAGAAGGAATCCTCCCCCAACACATTCTATGAAGCAAATATCACCCTGATCCCCAAACCAGGAAAGGACCCAACAAAAAAAGAAAATTATAGACCAATATCATTAATGAAAAAAAATATATTAAATACAGTTCTTAGAAATACGAACAAATCTGGAGGCATCACATTGCCAGATTTCAGGTTATATTATAAGGCTAGAGTGATCAAACAGCATAGTGCTGGCACAAAAGTTGAGACGTAGATCTATGGAACAGGATAGAAACTCTAGAGATGAACCCAGCCACATATTGTCATTTAATCTTTGATAAGCCTAACAAAAGCACACAATGAGGAGAAGAATCCTTATTTAACAAATGGTGCTGGGAGAACTGGTTATCCACATGCAGAAAACTGAAACTGGACCTGTACCTATCATCATTTCACAATCTTTTATCTTGGTGGATAAAAGATTTAAATTTAAGACACAAAACAATAAAAATTCTAGAAGAGAGTGTGGGGAAAACACTTTAAGATATTGGCCTGGCAAAAAATTTTATGAGGAAGACCCCCTAGCAATTGCAGCAGCACCAAAAATAAATAACTTGGACTTGATGAAGCTACAAAGCTTTTGCATAGCTAAGGATACCACAAACAAGGCAAACAGACAGCCTTCAGAATAGGTGAATATTTTTGCATGTTATGAACCTGACAAAGGCCTGATAACTAGAATCTACAGAGAGCTCAAATTAAACACTAAGAAAAGTGCTGGTACAAATTCATAATGAATAAACTCTCGGATACCAAAAAAAGGTTAACAATATTGTTTGGAGTCTTGGTTTGGACTGATAGAACTTTCTGGGTCATGGAGAATTGGTTGTATAATTTGACACTTTGTTTCAGGGTCATACTGATACACCCATGCTTTATCACTAGTGGTAACACAGCTCAAAATATCATCTTGCCTCTCCAAAATGTCTTGGCAAATGTCAACTCTCTTTGGCTTCTGTTCATTGATCAGCTTTTTCAGGACCATTTTTGCACACACCTTACTCAGGTCAAGATTTTCCTAACTATTTCTCTAATGATGTTTACTTGCTCTGCTATGGTTCTCACAGTCAGTGGTGACTCTGACATACAATTCGATGAATTTCTGCAATTTTTGGTCAGTTTTACTCATTATTGATCATCCTGACCTCTCTTCATCAACATCACTTTCTCTCCCCCCAGAAAAATGTTTAATCCATTTTCTTCATGACATTATCCCCATAAACTTGTACTAACATGTTCCCAATTTAACATCTTCTCTTGGAAAGTCTTATAAGAAATTTAATGTTTGTTTGTTGTTCTATTCAAGTTCCCAACATTCTTGTGATGGCACACAGAAACACTCAACAACGACAGTCAAGCCACTCAGTAAGACATCACCATATGTTGACAAGAACAAACTGTTAGATGCTAATATATCAAGGTCATGACACTTCACTGAGTTGTGTGTATAGTGCCGCCAACATAAGTACACACTGCAAGTTTGTGAACGTAATTGTCTTGTATACTTAAATTTGGTTTATTTCACTGTAGTCATCACTCTTCAGTAAGTGATGTCGAGGTAAAACAAAGGTTTTGCTGACAATTTCTTTCCCACTGGCTGCTTACTTCTCAGATATCTATGATGTAACTTTGAAAAGGCTTACTTTTTGTGGAAGAGATGACCCCCAAAGTTCTTAAAAATAAGCACCCTTACTGAGGCTTTGGATGAGTATGGTTTGAATCCAGACATGTTGCTACAACTCCTGAAGTGCTCTCTTTGTGGGGAAGGGCTACTTTTTGCCTGTCCCTCTGCCATTAAGACCACGGGATGGTTGGGGAGAAGAATGTTCCTGTGAGGAGCTACCAGCAGCCTGCTTGGTGGTACCCTACATGCTGTGGGGCTTGGGCACAGATGTCCATATTCCACCCAGAAGGGATGGGGGCTTTGGGGACAGGGTTCAGGGGTTGCTTGATTGGGCTGCACATGTACCAGGAGGGCAGGGTCTGTGGGAAGTATGGCCCTGGGGTGGAGAATAGAGAAGCAGAGGCCAGTAAACCAGAGGCTGGGCACTGTGACAGCCTGGTGTAGCCACTGAGTGCTCTGCCAAGGAGCCCTCAAGGGCAAGGGTAGGTTTACTTGCCGCCAGTCCAGAGGACAAGGCCATCAAGGGATAGTATAGGCCATGTCAGAATGTTCCCCTCCCAATGGCCCCAAGTCTGTGCTCCAGCCTAGAGGATCCTCAGAAGTTATGTGATTAGAGGGGGTGTGCAGGTGAGAAAGAAAGAAGCAGTCCACCTATTAAGAGCCCTGAGTTATGCTAGTTCTCTGTGGCTGCACAATTTTAATTAATGAAGTCTTATTTTCCTTGCGATGGAAAGTTCCAGTAGGACTTTGTGTTACCTAGGAGTAAGAAGAAAATGTGCTACATTCCTGGGTATGAAGAAAAGTTTCCCTGTTGGATGTATTTTAAGGGGACAATGAAGATGTGAAGTTGTTTTTATGATTAGGCTCCACTGCATTGATCACTTACTGTGCTTGCTGTCTCAGAAAGAGCCAGCTGTGCAGATGCTGAGCAGAGCCCAGAACACACAGCAAGTGTGGAAAGGGAGAGACCTGAGCAGCGACAGCATCCAGGGTCATGCAGTGACTCACCCTCATGGTGGCAGGATGGCATCCCTTGCAACATGGGTGATTAGAACAGAAATGAGATTTGGAAGATGCTAGCAGCAGAAGCAGCAAAATGACTCTGCATTGTGAGTGCCTGACACGTTTTTAAGTCAGAGGTAAGAGATATGGAATTAGGAATGGAAATATGAAAGTCTGTGCAATGTGTGAATCATAGAGAAGGAACTGGTCATAGTCTATAATAGGTCCTTTCTCTACTGGGGTTAACAAGGTAGCTAGATCATGGTCCTTTATTCACTTGCTAGTCTATTAAAGAGACTACATTCTTGAGACATTGAGGGTAATTGAAAAAGCCTTTGCCTTTTGTTTAGGATCTGCAAGAAAGTGTGCCATGTATCTCTTGTTTTTGAACTCTCTAGGATGGATTTCAGATAGTGTATTTTCTTCACAATTCTTACAAATTTCTCTTTTATCTAATGCCCACTCCCATCATTAAACTGTCTTAACAAGCCTTCACAAATCTGCAGTCACTACATGACTTTTCCCGTAATCAGAAGTCATCTGTACACCAGATTCAGTTAATTCAAAATGGTCTTTGCTTATTATTTGGCAAATGCCTTATCCTGCTCTTTTTCATTTATCTTTAATATTCTGACCCTCAATTTTTATCTGAATTAGTCAATTCACCTACACAGTTAAAATTCCTAAATATTTTTGCTCTTAATTAATGTATATATAGTATGCTAGGATTTTGGCTTCATACAGGCTCAGTTACTTAATAATAAACCATACATCACTTGTACCATGAATCTCACAGCGTGGTTTCTCTTTTATTTCTGCCTCACTAGGACCATCTATTCATTTCAGATGGTTTGTATGAAATGGAGAAGGTTCTAGTTTAGACTATAGAGCTCAAATTAAGGCTCATACCTTAGTTACCTATTTATAAATCATTTTTGGTTTATAGCATTGTAGTTATAACATTATCTTATTGTTTACCTTTTTTGGAGGGAATTCATTGAGGGTACATAGAACCATGTTACATTGATTGCATTTGTTAGGTAAAGTACCTCTTATAATTGTGTCCTACCTCCAAGAGGTGTGTCATCCACTGTGACCCCCCCATCCCCCTCCCTCCTCCCCTCTCTCTGCTCTCCCATTCCCCCACCCCCACCATGGACTAGGTCATCAATTGTCCTCATATCAGAATTTAGTACATTGGATCCTTTATTTAAAGATAATAGGCAGTAGTTCCCTGACATTGAGACTCTGAATTGTAACCAACTCAAAAACAGTTCAGGGAAATTAGAAGTACATAAAAATTATTTGTTGAATAAATATAAAAGAAAGCTAAATTTCTCCACAGTAAGTGTTAAATAATTGTTGGCTGAATGAAGACTTTTTGTTTTCATAGACAAGAAAATAAAAGTACAACACAAGTGCACTGTTAAAGACTTCATGTCTTATCTCAAAAATCTAACAAAAAATTTAAAATTTAAAAAATTCAGTAATTAACAGATGTGCTCTACTAAAGATTTTATTAGATTTTGGAACCTGATTTTATTGCTTGGAAACGTAAACTGGAATGGTTATTGCTTTTTTCAAAGAAAATTTAGGGAGATAGATTCTCATATGCAACCATTGAAAAGCAACCTGCTCTCATACACTTCCACTAAGAACCAGATGAAACTATGACCGACCTGTGAACAGGCCAGAACCTGCATCTATGAAGAAGCTAATTAGAAACTCCCCTAAGAGCTTCCTTTTCCCCTGCTCTCTTTTCTTCTCAGTCTCACTCATTAGTGAGACTGCCCTTAGTTTTTCTATAAGTCAAACCATATATGCCTATCTTGGGGACTTTATACCACAATGTAATGGGCATTACATTAAAAAAAAATCATGCATAGTTGGCAAAGGAAACTGATGACACATTGTGGTTTTATTTGGCCTGATGATAGGACAAATGTTCACTTGCCTCTTTTACAGAAACCCAGATAATGTACGATGAGACAATTTTGATGATGTGCAACTCCAAAATCCACCACATGAACACCTGCAGCTTGTGAAAGTACTCCAGGAACTTTAAGAACAGCACCGTGAGACGGTCAATCACCAGATGCCACTTGTTCTTTAAATCTGCAAGATAGTAAGTGCATCTAAGAGTGTCACTGTTTTTTGTATTATTATTTAAAGCATATTTTACGTTCAGGTTGGAATGAAAAGCCGCAAAAAACTTAACAGTAGATGAATTCTAAGAATACTAAATTCTGGACTAAGAGTGGTTTAAGAATCCCTCGGGATGACAGATATCAGAAACGGAAAGACAATGCTATTTTTATTCACTTCTTAATTAAATTGCTGTGAAAAGAATTTTGACATTATTTACTCTTAACACTAAGTATAATTCCCTAATTTTCTGAAAATATTAAAGTAACCTGAGATCCCTTTAGATGGTATCATTCTGGTCAAAACAGCACTTTGTAAGTGACCAGTCTTCTTTGACAGAGCTTGACTGAGAGTGAGAAAACTCTCCAGTGCTCCTGCAATGCCACTGAGACCTCTGCACAGACCCAACAGCCTGCCTGTTATCTGAAATACCCTATCTATCATCTCCTGAAACAGGGTCAGATTCATTCTAATCACAATTTTTAATCAAACACGGCTCTCATTCTTCCCATCTGTGCTAGATATAGGGGTCAAAATAACTGTGCTGGCTGATGGGTCTGAAAGTTATAATAGGACTATTGTGTACTGTCAGCATGTCCTCATGCTTGGAGACAAAAGCTCGTAAGACTAGGCAGATGACAGGACCTAAATACCTCCTTAAGTAGCTCCTTTTCCTGGCTTGAGTAGTTGTAACAGTTACTGTATTTGGTTCTAAAAGTTTTTAGGCTTTTTATCCTACTTTTGTTTCTAGACTTGAAATAATGTTTTTACTAGGGGATGATGGACAGTGAACTATGCCGCAGTAGTCTTCCTTATCCAGTTTTGCTTTCTGAGGTTTCACTTACCAATATTTCAAAATATTAAATGGAAAATTCCCCAAATAAACAATTCAGAAGTTTAAATTTCATGTGTTCAGAGTAGCATGATGAAATCCCTGTCCTTCCTCCTGAGATGTGAATCATTCCCTTGTTCAGCATCACCAGGCTCTTTACACTGCCTGCCTGCCTGCTAGTCACTCAGTAGTCATCTTGCTAATCAGATTGACCGTTGTGCTACTGCAGTACTAATGTTCAAGTTACCTTATTTTACTTACTAATGTCACCAAAGCCAAAGAGCAGTGATGCTTCCAATGTGGTTATATCAAAGAAAAGCCATAAAGTGTTTTCTTTTAGTGAATGGTAAAAGTTCTTGACTTAGTAAGAATAAAAAAGTATGCTAAAGTTGCTAAGATCTATGATAAGAACAAATCTATTTGTGATACTGCGAAGAAGTATCTGTACTATCTCTGGTTAGAACATCTGTACTATCTTTGGTTTTAGGCATCCAGTGGGGGTCTTGGAACATATCCTTTACTACAGTATATATAGAGTGACTCAGATGACAGTCAATAAAAAGGTTTAGGTAGTAAATGAGTGTGATTTGGAAGTGCAGATGGCACATGCACAAGGGAGCGAGAGAACAAGTACAGCACAATTTTTGGGGAGATCCTATGAGTAAAGCTAAAAACTCATCTTAAAGTAGTATAACAAAATCCTAATCTTAATTACTTGGTTTCATAGAGCTGAGCTTTCCCCTTTACACTGAGGAATGCACGTTGCTCAAACAGAATTTCTAGTCCTCTCCTGAGATATTCTCAGATGAACAGGAGAAGGGGATCAGGTTTGGAGAAAGCTTGCCTTTGAAGGGATCTTTCTGTGTCATGCCACTTTTAAATTTTTTAAGTACGTAAAGCACAGAGGACCAACAAAGACAAATGTAGCATCTTAATGTCATAACCCTAAAACATCATCCCAAACGTGCTACTCTCTGGTTTCTCCCATACTTTCTGGGAACTAGACTAAGGTCACTGCCTTTTACATTCCCTGATCACCAAAACTATCCCATTCTCATCATGCCCTATTAAAACATTATTTCAAGGCTAGAAAGGAAAGTAGGAAAAAAAGAGCCTACATAAGGAGTGGATGATGATGACAAAAACATCTTTACGAGTTTGCTTGAAGTGATAATTATCCAATCACTAATTTTCCTCCCTGTTGCCCATGTCCTTGAGAATTAGAATAGAATTAGAAAAATATTTTTACTGGTTTCTTGGAAAAGCATCACAATGGCTTCTAGAGAATGAGTTTGTAAAAGTGATGTCTATAACTTGCAGAGATTCTGCACCATGGTCAGGCACATGGTCAGAACCACACCCAACCCGGGTCTGGACAGGAACACACTAGTGGGCCAGTCATTTATAACCAGCAATCTGCTCTCTTCTCTTCAGTCAGAATTGGGAAGATTTTATTAGAGAAATTGGAACAGTAATATTATAACTATAGTAGCTAAAAGAAAAAGACTCAAATTTTTATTACACAGACTGGGTACATATCTTTTTGGGGCGAGTCACTGTTTTATTTACTCAGCCTGGAGGCTGCATTTTCTGAGCAGCTGCTGGTAATGGGCCAATTACCTGATGTTTCCTCCTCCTCCTCTGACTCCTCTTCCTCTTCATCCTCCTCTGACTCCTCACTGTCTTTCCCAAGCTCATCTTTCTCGACCTCTTCAGAAAATCCCTCAGGCTTCTCCTCCCCAGGCTCAGAAAACTTTCTCTTCTCCAGGCTGGCAGACAGATTCATCATGGTGAGGTCTGGGAGGCTCCCTTCAGGGTGGGCCAGTCTGTTGGTAGAGAGCAGCTGAGTCAGAAAGGGAACAGGTATCGGGAGATGTCTGAGTGAGGGGCACATGAAGGAGGACAAACAAAAATGAAATTGTGCGTGTACAAAGACCTCGAGGTGAGGTGTTAGAATCTTGTCACTTTGTTGTTTTACGTTCTTTCTAAAAACAAACTAAACTCAGTTAGGTTTTTTAGCTTTTCTAACTGAAGTTCTAGTGATTAGTCAGTAATGAGAGCTATTGACACCTAAACTTGACATTTTTCCCAGAGGAGAAAATGGTCAGAGTTTAGGATGTAGAAGCATGAAATGGCATCATGTAAAGCAAGCATTTCATGGCTTCACAGGGGGACTTACTCATTTTGGTGGATTGGTAATTTTTTCTTGATGCTGCTCAAAGTAATTGAAATAGAAAGGAAAAAAAGGAAATGAGAATAGAAGAATTATAAGGAACGTCAGAGATCACACATCATGCTACACATCACCCACTTCCGCATCCCTGTGTGCTGGTGCAGTGATGTCCTAGTGCCAAATGCATTCCAGAGTACAGCGTGCTTTGCTCTGAGCCCTAGACTTGGCAATTGATTTGACAGTGGACAACACTGCAGGATTGTAGGGGAGAGAGCATACTGAGACTGCCAGGGCAAATTACATCATGCTTTCTTAGAAATGCAACAAACCATCTTGCCAGAATCAAATCATCCACATTTTAACTAAGTTAAAAAAGAAAAAGCTCTTAAATAATGTGTGTTCTCAGTCAGCCTTTGCATAGAGTAATCCTACTTTGCCATCATCTAAAGCCTGTGCCATGGAAGCTAAATGCTCTCAGGAGTGAGATGTCGGGATCAAATTCCCCCGAGGGTTACTGATGGGAGCTGTGGACAGGGGCTGTAGGAGGACAGGGTGATCCTGAGCTAGAGATAGACTGCAGGAGGGGCAGCTTCTGCTGGGCCCTCATTGACCACAGCCACCTAGGATATTACAGTTTATTTCATGATGGACAATAACAAGTATGATCCTTTTTCTACATTGAAAAAAAAGCCTATCTCTTTGTTTATATTCAAATTAATGTTATAAAGATCATTTTGTGGTAACAAAATGCATATTAGGAAAAGTCTACTAGGAATACTGACAATCTTCTCCATTTATAATAGTTAATCTATAAATTTCCAGCATAGTTGTATCAGGATGGACAAATTAATATTCTACCTGTGTGATTGTGGGCTCTGAGTAACCAACCTTTCTGAAATATAATTGATTTTCTATATAAAATAGATAAAATGTGAGCTTACTTTCAACTTGTTGATTTTGTGTTTGAAAATGTGTCTATCATTTGGGTAACTGTTATAATGAATCTGCATTGTCCTTGGACTTTGAGAGAGGTTATTGCTCAAAGGCGAGTCCCTTTAATGGTGTCCAGCAGGTAAATGATAGCTTGCTGGAGAAAATTTAATGGAGAGAGAGCATGTTTGGAGAATTCAGCACTGGTGGAAGACACCATGCTGACCTACAGCATCCTTATTTTCCTAAGCTAGTCAATTCACCTCCTGGCTTTGGGAAAGTCAACCATCTTAAAGCTGCAATACCCGTATCTTCTACCCCAATGCCACATATCAGATCTCAGGGTACATACTTGCTATTCCCGCTTTGTCAGGACTCTAATATTAAACGCTATTAAATGTGGAAGAGGTTAGGTGCTGCACAACTGTCAGTACCCATTTATTCTCTTCAGCATTGCTGGAGGATTGATTGTATTTTGCAAGTGAGAAGGTACCTATCATGAGGACAGGGAATTTGGTGGTTTTCATGTGGAAATGTGACCATCTCAGAGTGCATTTCAGATGTCTATGATGACACTGCTAAGACGTTTTACTGACAAGAAAACAACTTTCGAATAATTACTGCTATTTATGGAGTGAAACTTAAAGAGAGGAGGCTGTTTCTGCAGCTGCTTCTATGTCACACAGCAAAACATCCTAGAGCTAGATGTCCCCAAACTGCTGTGCCCCAGGCAAAGCATACTGAAGAGAGGTTACTAAATGAAGGGGGCAAAGGAAGACGGCTTTGGAGAAGGAGAGCTTTTAACACCTACTTCTAGAAACTTGTAATGATACCAGATGGAGCTGGGGATAGAAGGGGAGGGACTTAGATGGTTTTCCTCTGACCTGATTCTTATAAGGAAATGGGGCAGATAACCCCTTGATGCCCTCTGGAGCAGTCTAACCTCATAAGCTCATAATGAATGATTAAAAAAAGGGAAAGAAGAGGGAGGGAAGGAGGGAAAATATGTAGCATATCAGGCTGCCATTTACTAGTCCAGGACTATGTTAACTAGCTGAGAAATTTCAGTGAGTTGTACCTTGTATTACAGAAACCTGTGTGTATAAAACATGATTAGATGAATATATTTTAGATGGCATATAGCACTGAAGAGGTTTAATTCTTTACTTGGACTTGACTTGGAAAAGCTCTTATTAAGGTAGTTTCCACTAAAAAAAAAAAAATGGAAATTCTACCATTGTATGTAAGATCTCCTTAGTCTAAATGTCATTTATTTTTAACTATTCCAATGTGGATTATGTGGTAATGTAAACTGCTCTCATCCCATTATCATTCAACTATTAGAAAAAAGAGTCTTGCAAATTTGTAGTGTTTATAAGTAATATTTAAAGCAGAATATTTTTACTGTTTAAAAAATTATTTTCTAGGGCAGTGGGTAGGGCACCGGCCACATACACCAAGGCTGGTGGTTTCAAACCTGGCCCGGGCCAGCTAAAACAACAATGACAACTGCAAGAAAAAAAAATAGCTGGGCATTGTGGAAGGTGCCTATAGTCCCAGCTACTTGGAAGGCGGAGGCAAGAGAATTGCTTAAGCCCAATTTGAGGTTGCTGTGAGCTGTGATGCCACAGCACTCTACCCAGGGCAACAGTTTGAGACTCTGTCTCAAAAAAAAAATTACTTTCTAGAAATTGTAAACATTTTTAAAAGATCATGTTCACATGCAGTTTATAAATTTAAAATCACACCTTAAATATGCATGTTAGTAACTCCTCCAAAAAAACTACTAGGCAGAACTGAATACAATGGCTCTAGTTTCTGTATATGTGGAAGAAAAAAAAAATTACTCTCTAAAAATATTCTAATTTATACTGTTTACTAAATCAGTTGAAACTTCCCCACAGTTACTCATATTATTAAAACTTTATCAAAGCTATCCACTATCCTCAATACACTACCCTACTTTATATCTGGTAAGGTAATGGCTACATTTTAGTTTAACTATAAGTTGAATTATAGATACCCTGTCCTTTTAGTCCAGAACTAACACTTGTAAACACATTATTCTTCTTATGAAATAACATTGAGCATATAGAAGTAAATTATGGGAGAAAAAAGCTTATTTACTTTATAAGCAATTCATTCTATCATGCTAATGAGTAGTAGGCTCTTTTAAAATTTTGATACACCTTACATTCAAAATTTCAGAAGCACATGTTGTAAAATGAGATGTTTGTTTGGTAACTTTTTTATGGGGGCATATCTGTGGCCTCTCTTACCATGTTAATATGCATATGGTAAGGATGGAATGTTTCAAGTTTTTAACTATTTTGCTGACTTTGAACCTTGATATGTCTAAGAACTCCTAAATGAATTAACTGATCTTATGATTTGGGATAACAGGTATAAGCTTCTTCTCATGAGATGTCTGGAGCTAATCTAGCTGCTCCCAGTTGGGCCCATCTCTTGCCCCCTTATCTCAGTCATCCCCTTCATGAAGCAAACACTAAATGCTTTATGAGAAATGCTCACAAAGGAAGAAAGAGAGAAGTTCTTTATGTTTGTAGGGATGAGATTTAAGTAGCTTCTTAAGATTTCTATCTAGAATCTGTATCTTATTTTTCTATCAGCTAAAAGCTGAAAGTTGAGGTTCCTCTCTCAGGCTGTCAAAAGCTGGCCCCTCAGGAAATTATGCAGTTCTCACCTATTTCTCCTCCTTCAGCAATCTACTCCCTACCTTTTTCACACTTCCTTCTAGAAGTTCTGCCTCCTAGGATTTGCTATTTGGTTGTCTGCCTTAGGATTTTACCTAAGGGAAAAGTGAATGAAATAGAAAACCAACAAATCTTTTGAAGAGTTATTTTGTTAATTAGATTTACTGCAAAATACATGTTTTCTATTAGCTAAATTACTGGCTTTATTATTAATGATGTGAAGTTACAGGAGTGAATATATTAATTCATCGACTTAGTAAAGTAAGAATAGTTTTAGTAAATTAGATCTCAAAGGATTTTATCTTTGTGCTCTTCAAAACTTGTTTTTCATTTTGTGGGGACACTGCATATTTTATCTGTCCACCTAGGTGACATACATCATAAGGTAGGCCCATATCTGAATGTCATTTTGGTACCTTTTGTGGTGTGTAAACATGAAATATGGTGATATAAAATATCCCTCTTTAATAATATGTTGATCTTTCCAGTAGAGATGTATTTGGAGAAACTGATGGTTTTTAAAGCATATACTGTTGTGACTATTTTCATGGCAATCAGAAAATATTTACTGAATATCAACTAATGGTTAAGGCCCTGAGGTAGGTGATATGGTGGCATCTTGGTGAACTGTACAGGGATTCCAAGCCTGACAAATTTATCTATTTAGCAAGGGAGATAAGACAAGCAGGTAGACAGAGGGCTGGAAGGCAAGTGTCAGGATAGCAGCAATGATAGTTGCTAAAGAGTCAGAGGAAGGACAGATTACTTTTAGCAAGGATTGTGGCATTTCTGGGAGGGTTTATGGAGGAGGTGGTTCTTGAGCTGAGCTGTCAATGATACTTTAAGAGGAGCTCTCAGACAAGCCTTAAATGAATTCTACCAACTAAAAAAATGACGGAGACATAAGTCTGAACCAAGTTCAAAGGCTGAGCACCAGCTGAAGACCCTGGACAACCTCCTCCTCCACTTTGGCTGGGTTTGCAAAATACATCCAGGAGCATACCTGAAGACTACTGTCCACAACCTGACAACACATTTTCTCATTTATAAAGCAGTTGAGAGTTTAATACATTAAGAAATAGTTTTTAATAAAAATAAGAGAAAAAAACATTGTGAAGTACCCACCTATTTATTATTAGATATACGCGGCCATTGACTTTGGCATGGCTACAAGGTGAGAGATGGAAGCACAGGGATGCAACGAGGAGACAGGCAGAGAGACAAGATCAGATTGTTAGACAGAGGTGAATGAGGTAAACTTTCCCAAGCTTTCTATTGTCAGGTGTATCATCACACATCCAGGCTCTATGCCTTGAAGAAGAGTCTAGATACAAGATTCAGTAGCAACATGAAACCAGATGTATTCAGGGAAGATACATGAAGGTAACAACCTTCTTCATCCTTCTCCTTGCTCCCCATCTCATACACTTTATTAGAAATTTATTATACTTACATTTTTCAAGTTATATTTTATCAAAGAAAATGTAATTTAGAAGGATTAAATTTTGATTCTTCCTTGGAATTAAAAAAAAATTCTTCTCAGTAACCATGTTCAGCATGCTATTCTCTTTAAACATTTTCTAAAATTGACATAAAACAGTAATTTTATTTCTATATATATAGCAATACTTTCTAAAACAAATCATGTTCAAATGGAAGTGACATAGATGCAATAGGTATTTAAATAGTTCCTTGTAAATTATTATTAATTATATGGGATATAACAAGCATGTTATGTTATAATAATGTTTTAATATTATATGTTATTATCAAAAGGTAAGTGAAATAATATTCCTGAGATTTCTACTTAGAAATAATAATAGTTTCTTCTTATGTATATTATAATTTTTTTATAAAGCTAACTTTGCTAACACTGTAAGGCTAAACACAATAAATTTGGTTTTAGACACACGTGACGTGTACCTACCCTACATATAAGTGTGCATGGACCTACACACAAAAAGTAGAAAAAACAGGAATAGAATAGTTGCATATTTACAGAAACAATAGTGCATAAATCAATTTAATGAACACAATTAATTGGTTATTCCCAATCTATGGGCCGTATATTATATAGCATCTCCTAAGGAAGTGAGAGCAAAGAAAACAAAGCATGACAGTCTATCCCAACTCTGAATAGGTTTCTTTTTCCTCATTATTTTGATTTTAATGTACTCATTGTATTAGGACCCCAGGAACAAAAATATTGCAAAGTGAAAATCATCAGTAAGAAAAATACTACAATGGGAAAGTTGCCAAAAAGGTAAGATACATATCTTATATTCAAAGTTAAAATTATTGGAACTTTTATATCATAATCTTGCATGAAATCCCCAAATACCAAATTTTAGTGAGTTCTTTAAATTCCCTAAGGTTCTAGACAACATTTTTCATAGAACTAAAAATGAAATCCTATGTGCCTAAAACTCTTCCGATAACCAACATTATACTCTCTCTCTGCACTCTTTAAATTTTCTTGGAAAAGTCACTGTTAAGCAGTTCTTAGGCTATGCCATGGCTATGAGGAAGGCAATTCACTGTCTCATACCGCTACAGGGAATTTAGCTCTTTCTTTGCTCCGTATGGGGCTTAGGGTAAGGCTGTGAGGTAGCAGCTTAACATGGTGCTGTGGTCCTTCCTCAGAGCCCACACACTTAAACACTGCTAACCTCACTTAGAAGGACTCTGTGGAATAAATTCCATTTTCACATACGCTAGGTCCAAAATCTGTGAGTCTTTACACTGGTAAGGACTGAGCCGAATTGTCTTCTACAAAAGTCTATGGTCCTGAGAATTTCTGATTTTCTGGATAAATTGTGACCTATATTGGACTGCATGACAGAAGACTCAGGCATACCACAAAGATATTAATGAGATAAAAAATGTTCCTGCATAGTGGAGGAATTTTTAATGAAAAGGCAATGAATATGAAAGAAAAGAATATTTTCAAAAGAATTTTGATGAAAAAAATTTTTAAGGAGGTATCATTAGCAATTACTCCTTTCACAAATTGGAGATCTGCTCTAGTTAGATTTTTCTTTATTATTAAATGTAAATTTTGAAAATAGTGGTAAGGGTTATAGTTAAATGGTCAGAGTTAAATATCAAATACTAGTTCTATCCACAGGAATCACAAGCAGTGTCAAAAGAATTATCAGATAATCATTTTTCTAATTATTAATAACTTTCACTTCTCTTTTATTTCACACAGCATTGTTTCTGATAACAGTTCTCACTTTTATATACAGGCATTGTCTTTGTAAACTGATAAACTGAGGGTGATTTTCCTTATCAGCAAATTTGTCCCCAAACTTCTAATAACTATTTTATTTTTCCTAATGTGTGATTACTAGGGAAGGAAGTAGGAGTAAAAGGAGGGGATAGAGGTTTTAGCTGAGCCTGCATATTTATGGTGGAGAGATAGCACAAGAAATAACGACTTGTTGAAACCTTTTGGCTCCATTGGTTGATAGTCACTGACATACTGACAGTTGTGCAGAATATCAGAATGAAAACAAAATGTAATCCTAAACAAAACACAACAAGGACAATAAATCTGCTGATCATAAGTAAAGGTTATAATATGTTTTTCATCATCAAATTAAAGTGTTTTGAAGTTATCTACAATCCTAGTCCCTACTACAGCATAAAACTGGAAGTTTAGTATTTTATAAAATTTCATGAAATGCTAATACTTCTTCTCCTAATATCTTTTTCTCTTGAATCAAAGAGTTAAGGGGAATTTTCAAATGTGGCCTCTATCCTCCTCTCATTACATCCCTTTGCTCCCTCAGTTGCTCAACAAACATTTTTCCAAGAACTGAGTCGGGCTACATGAGAGGCAGAGGGGAAAATCATTGTTAGCATTCATTAGAAGAATGCTTGTAATTTCCCTGTGATGGAACATTTAGAAAGATCTGTGATAATCCTTTGTGGTTTGAACAAACGGGCAGAAAAATCAATATTCCATCTGTTACTTATAAACAATTTATTTTATCACAAGTTGCTAAAAGCTTAAATATTATTCAAGTGACTAGTCAATTGCAGATTCTGTCCTTTTAGCCAAGATTCTTCATTTCCAAAATGGAAGGCAAAATTCTGCCCGTCATCTTTTGGTATGACCTCACAGGACTTCTGTACTGGTTGTCATTGTAATAAAAAACTCATCTGTAGATTAGCCAGATTCTATAAGTGGATATCCACATCACTGACTCTAAAACACAGTCTGGACAGCTATTCAGAATCCACTCACAAGACTGTAAGTCACTTTACATTAATTAGTCATAAGTCACTACCAACTATTTCAGAGAATGACAACAAATATTACACATTTTTTCTATTTTTGTTTTCACTCACAAGTTGATACTCATGGAAAGTTCAAGGTTGAAACTCTGAGTTAGATTATTTGCTTCTCACAAGATAGCCAACCTAAGGTATGGTTTCAAGGTTGCCTACTAGAGGTAATATATATATATATTTTTCATTCACCTGTAGATGGTGTTGTCTTCTTTGCTGGGAATGGACTTGAGGTCTGTGAGTTCAAGGAACCGGTCATGGAAATAGTGCAGATGTAAAATGCACACCAGCAGGAAGGAGGTTGGGATGAATATGCGAGTGAATAGTTCAGCCACAGTAAACTGCTTTAAGCCAAGATCCTCAAGCCTGTAAAACAAAACAAAATAAAAAAGAATGAAGACATGGTCTCTTCATTGTAGACTAAGGCATAGTCTTACACTCCTGTTGGCTGTATCTTTTATTGCATTCCTCTTTCTTGTACATTCCAGTTTGGTTTTTGTTTCCACCAAGACAACTAACTTGCTTTTGCAGTAGTCAATAACAACTTGAACATTACTAAATTCAATGACTACTTTTCTAGCTTTATTTAATTCAACCTTGGATTCCTTTTATTGAATAAGCTAGATCTTGGTAGCATCACAATTTCTTGGTTTCTAGTTCTGCCATAATTTCGTCCTTTTCTGTTGGACCTCGAGAGACTGAAATATCCTCAGGAATCAGTTTTGATTTCTTCTCCAGCTCTACTTTCCTCCTAGATGATCTCACTTAATCCCATGCATTTATGAACCAACTTTACGCCAAGGATGCAAATGTGTATCTACAGCACAGCCTCCTTCCATGGAATCTCAAACCCTAATTCTATAAGAAATTGGCTGTTTCACAGTTATATCATAGTTGATATTTTCAAAACAGTATTCTTAATTTTGCTATTTTCCTTAACAAAGATCTTCACCACTCACCTCTTCCCTGACCAATAAATGGTACAACTGTCTAACCTGTGTAAAACTGAGAAGTCACATCTCCTTGATTCTTTTCCTTCACATCTCATTCATTCACATTTCCTTCAGCTTCCTAAGCACCTCTTGAATCTAGTGCAGCGGTTTTCAACCTGTGGGTTGCAATCCCTTTGGGGATTGAATGACCCTTTCACAGGGGTCACCTAAGACCATCCTGCATATCAGATATTTACATTACTATTCATAACAGTAGCAAAATTACAGTTATGAAGTAGCAAAGAAAATAATTTTATGGTTGGGGGGGTCACCACAACCTGAGGAACTGTATTCAAGCGTCATGGCATTAGGAAGGTTGAGAATCACTGATCTAGTGGCTCCTGTTATCCTTCTCCAACACCAACTATTCTGGGTGAAGATGCCATTGTTTTTCTAAGGAAAGCAACAGGACCACTGGTATTGCTTACTAACTGGTCTTGTTGTTTCTATCTGCCACATAACACTTTTTCTCAGCTAGTTGAGGGATCTTTAGAGATTGAAAAATTCCACCAAAAATAAAATGCAAATCATTCTATCTGTGTCTTGCCTGTCTCAGGTGCTGCCTGAACTCTTCCACCTATTCTTTGCCTACATGTCCCTTTACTGCCAGCAAGGGAGTCTCCTTCAGTCCCCCCTATTCACTGGGCCAAACTCTGACTTGCCCTAGAGTCTTTGCATGCATTGATATGTTCTTCCGTACTCTAGCCTCCAACTCATACAGTTTTCCTAAGGCAAGCTCCATCTTATCCATCAATGGGATTATAAACAATATTACTTCAGTTAAGCTTGTCCTGATCACTCCATTTATTGATACTTTCCACATTATTCACTACTGCAGCCTGTAATTTCTTTTACAGACCTGTCACACTTTGTAATTATCTTACATTAAGTAGTTTTCTTGTTTGTTTCCTTTATAACTCCACAGGACTTAGACTCTGTCTCAGTTCCTGTTGTATCCCAGGCATAAAACAGTGTCAGGCACACATGCAAAGCATTCAGTCAACATTTGTTGAATATCTCCTATAGCTACATGGTGATTCTTTCCTTCACACTCTTCTCCCAATCTCTTTAATATATCAGCTTAGTGCCCAATGCCAGTTGGATTTTTAAACGAATGTCAGAAGCTTATAGAAGCAAATTAGAAAAGGAAGAGTGCTATCTATAACATACACTGGAAAAATTATCTCTTCATCAAGGGCTCACTAGCACATACAGAAATTGCTCACCCTATGGCACTAATTACTCCTTAGAATCTAAGCATCAACAACATAATTGAGGAAAGTCTGCTGCTTTGTGTTATGAATCTATGAACCATTTATGAACTAGAGAGCTGAGCTCCAATTTGGACAGCAGAAAGTACAACTAACCAGGGGTGTTTCACACGGGACTTACATTAGAAAATGTCATTTCACTAAAACGGGGTTAAAAGTTTAGTTTTCAGCTAATATTCATGAAGTACCTATTATGTTCCAAGCTCAGGACGAGGCAGAAGTAACACAAAGATGACTAAGTTATAAATGTTCTTCTCAAGGAAGTTAGAGACACTGATGGCATTATATTTTCTTAAAATCTTCCCAGAACAAGTAATCCCATTTCATTGTGGGCAAGGGACTTGAACAGAAGCTTCACTGAAGAAGATAGGCTCATGGCCTACAGACACATGAAAAAATGCCCATCATCTTTAATCATCAGAGAAACACAAATCAAAACCACTTTGAGATATCATCTAACTCCCGTTAAGACTGGCTCACATAACAAAATCCCACAACTACAGATGTTGGCGTGGATGTGGAGAAAAGGTAACACTTCTACACTGCTAGTGGAAGTGCAACCTAATACGTCCCTTTTGGAAAGAAGCATGGAGAATACTCAGGGATCTAAAAGTAGACCTGCCATTTGATCCCGCAACTTCTCTACTAGGAATATATCCAAAAGATCAAAAGTCACTCTATAACCAAGATATTTGTACCAGATTGTTCATTGCAGCTCAAGTCATAATAGCCAAGTCATGGAAGAAGCCTAAGTGGCCATTGACCCATGAATGAATTAATAAATTATGGTATATATATACCATGGAATATTATGCAGCCTTAAAAAGATGGAGACTTTATCTCTTTTATGTTTACATGGATGGAGCTGGAACATATTCTTCTTAGTAAAGTATCTCAAGAATGGAAGAAAAACATCCTATGTTCTCAGTACTATCATGAAACCAATTTACAATCACTACACTTTCATATGAAGAATAGATCACAACTATGGCCCAAAATGAAGGAGGGAGTTGGGGGGGATAGGAAGGGAGGGTGCAGGTCAGATAGAGGAAGGGTGAATGGTGGGATCACACCAATGGTGCATAAGGCAAGGGTACACGTCAGATCTATTAGTATAGAGTATAAATGTCTTAACACAATAACTAAGTAAATGAGATGAGATATATATTAACCAGTGTGATGTAAGCATTCCTAAATCTATATGAAATCAGTACATTGTACCCCATAAAGGCATTAATGTATACATGATCTCTGTGTTTATGATTTAATTAAAAAAATGAAATGGGAGAAAATATCTTCCTTAAAGATATTTGAACAACATGCATTCCAGTTTCCATCCTGTTTGTCATTTTCACAACCCATCATACACTGAAATTGCTTACTTTTCCTTTTTCAGCCCAGTCATATTTTGCCACAGGCCTGGGAAGTTTTCAAACTGATATGTATATATAAAGATGAGCACCAGCATAGTGTAAATAACCACTGACATCCAAAAATATTTTAGAATTCTCCTCCACCATTCATAGTGCACCTATGGATCAGACATTGAAAAACAAGCAAGTAATTATACATAGAAATGTTTGAAAATGAGTCTATTTCATTCATTTTTAGTTTTGAATATTTCATTCCTAACATAGTTGAATGGTTCTGGGTTAGAATCCCAGCTCCAGGCATGGTTGCTGTGTCCCTAGGCAAGTTGCTGGAAAACTGAGCTTCAGTTTTCTTCTCTGTAAGTTCCTACTTTCCAGAGTTGTTATGGGGATGAAATGTATTATTTAATACTTACAAGGTTCCTAGCATAATATCAATCCAGTGAATAGTCAGATAGGTGCTGCTGTCATTGTAGTTATTATTGAGAGAAAACTACATCAGTTTTGAAAGTCAAAGCAATATTATATGAAAAAAATGTGAAACAACCATAGAGAGGACATTTCTCTTTAATATAAGCTTTGGATACTCATTAGAGAACATCTATGCTAAATTTTGAAAGTATTAAAAAGTTCATTGATTTTTGATGGGATCTTTTTATCTTCACATATTATATGTGCTGGAAGAACCTAAAATTTTTAAATAGTAAATAAGTTGAAGAGAATCATTTCCCATTTTAGGATTCTTAGGATGTCATGTTTGAATCTCACAACTTTATATGATATTTTTATGAGATTATAGTAATTTAGAATCTCTGCAAAGTTAGGTCATATATACTGCTGTGAGATGTGAGAATTAAAAAATACAGGATGATTATTTACCTACCTGATACAAGGCCACGCAGAACAGGAACAGCACCATGTAGATGATTTTATACATTACAATTTTACCCTCGAAGCTGACAAAGAAGAACATGCCTCCACAGACATAGATCCAATACTTGATGAACATGGCCACCACCAAGTTGCCCAGGACTTTCATGATGTCCTGATCATCTTCTTCTTCTTCCTCTTCTTCCTTCTCCTCCATCTTTTTCTCCTGCTTCTCTTCCTGGGCTTCGTCTTCTTCCTCCTGCACTCTGGGCTCTTCTTGGATGTCTTGAAGTTCCTCATCTTCAAAATAGAAAACTAAGCCATTATGCTGAGGTGGTTACCTGACCAGATCCACTCTTTGACTGTGTGTGAGATATCTGCAGAAACATGTATTTTATAAGTTATTCCATGATTTAAATGATTTTAGACTGTTCTAAAAATAAGGCAACATTCAAAACTAAATTGATAGTTAATTTTCATAACCATAATACAAATAGTTAACATAGTATCTTTATACTGATCTTTTAAAAATATTTTTCATTTCCAATATTCCAATGATATTCCAATATCTTTTTCAGTTCCAATGATAACTTTAAGCACTGTAGGATCTAGAAAAAACATAGGCATTAATAGCACAAATCAAAATGATTATATCAAATTATAATTGTTTCATGGTTTTAGACAATTGGACTAGTACTAGTAAATGTCATGAATGCTAACCATCTTAACCAAAAAGCATGCTTTTAAATGAAAGCCTAAGAGTTAAAGCCAAATATAATTTAAGTTTAAAGAGTAATTGTAATTTAAGTTTAAAACAATTTTATGCATTGAAATTATAAACTTATTTTGTCTTGCTTTATAAGATGCTAATATATTAGACTCATTTCTGGGTAACAAATGCTTGGATTTGAATAATTATTTCAAAATAATGTTTTGAACAAATTTGAATAATTCATTCAAATAATCAGCAAATTCACAGAGTGAGGGGAGTGAACATGAAGTGACAAATAAGAACAACTGTTGATCTCAAATTACCATTCTCTGCCAAAATTAACTAATTTAATTACTCTGTTGGACAGAGACATCCAAACTCATATAAGGAAGACTTCAATCTTACAGACAGATTTTTCCTGCCAAAGAACAACTCAATGGTTAGGTATAAATAAAAAACTATATTAAAAAACTAAGTTAATCTGTGTTGGTTTTCTTATGGTTACAAGTTCAATCTCAACGTTACTAGCCATGTTTCTACAGACATTATAGCCTCTTTTTCAAAGATAACACTACTTAACCTCAATAATAGTCTGCAATCCATCTATAAACTTTAAACACATTTTTGGTATATCTAGGGAGCAAGGGAGCAGACTGCTTTTATTTTACTTACACAAAAGGTGTAAACCTATAGAGGTGATAACAATATCATTTTTTTCCTTTTTACTTTGTGATATATTGTTTTTAGGAAATGAGAGGAGTTGAATTTAAAAAATTTGTGTCTGTTTCTTGGCCCCAATACTTATTAAAAGCATGACCTTGGAGAAATCCTTCAATTTTTCTGAGTCTCTGTCTGTTCTTCCATTGGGAACCACTTCTCTAAGGATCAAATGGCAAATCCCCTTGTAAACTCCCCACTTACATTAAAAGTCGCATGTTACAGTAACATTATTTACTGCTTCAAGTTCACATTGTTTTCATCAAACCTGAAGCATAGTGGCTTTCTATTTTGAGGTTCTTTCTCCATAATTTTGGTAAGCATTAAAATCTTCAGTCACACACTGTGCACACTATTTTACCTTTTTCTTCATTTTCCTGATTCCCAATTTTGACTTCAGATAAAAGAGCTTCCTTTCCTTGAAGAGCTTTTTGCTCTGTGAGGTGCTGCCTCAGAAGTAGCCAAAAAGTAATAGTGAAAAGAATCTGAAAGCAGAGAAGTAGAAAAAAAAGAATTAAGCAATCATTTGAAGTATAACACATTTCAACAAATATAAGTTTTCTCTACACATCAGCAGGAGCACACTAAGATACTCACTTGATTTGAGCTGAAATTCACCACTTTTTTGGGTATAAATGTATTGGGTACCAGTGTAATTTTACTACATGGCTATATTGTACAGCAGTGAAGTCTGGGCTTTTAGGGTACCCGTAACCCAAATAATTTACATTGTAACCATTAAGTAATTTCTCACTATCTACCTCCCTCCCACCCCATCAGCTTCCCAGGTCTCCACACTCTGTGTTCATGTACACATTATTTAGCTCCCACTTGTAAGTGAAGAACACGTGGTATTTGCCCTGTTTCTGAGTTGTTTTCATTTAAGATAATGGCCTCAAATTCCATCCACATTGCTGCAAAAGAAATAATTTCATTTCTTTTTTTTTCTTTCAATAAAGACATGGTCTTTTCCCAGGCTAAAGTATAGAGGTATCATCATAGCTTACTGTAACTTCAAACTCCTAGACTCAAGGAGTTCTGTCTTAGCCTCCCAAGTAGCAGGCATGTGGTATAATGCCTGGATAATGTTTTTTATTTTGTAAAGATAAGTTCTCACTATGTTGCCCAGGCTGGTATCCTGGCCTCAAGTCATCCTCTCACCTTAGCTTCCCAAATTGCTGAGATTATAGGTGTGAGCCACCATTCTCAGCTGATTTCATTCTTTCTATGGCTGAATATTCCAGTGTGTGTGTATACGTGTGTGTGTGTGTGTGTATACTATATATATATATTGTATTTTCTTTATCCAATCTATTGATGAACACTTAGGCTAATTCCATATTTTTGCTATTATGAATAGTGCTGAGATAAACATACAAGCGCAAGAATCTTTTTGATCTAATGATTTCTTTCTCTTTGGGTAGATAGCCAGTAGTGGGACTGCTGGATCAAATGGTAATTCTATTTTTACATCTTTGAAAAATCTCCATACTATTTCCATAGAAGTTCTACTAATTTACATCACCACCAATAGTGTATAGGCATTTTCTTTTCTCCTACATCTTTACTAACAGTCTGCTACTTTGTTTGTATGTATTTTTGAAATAAGAGTTGTACTCTGTTGCCCAGGCTAGAGTGCCATGGTATTAGCTTAACTCACAGTAACCTCAAAGGCCTGGGTTTAAGTAATCCTTCTGCCTCACCCTCCTAAGTAGTTGGGACTATAGGTGTTTGCCACAATATCTCACTAAACAGGGTCTTGTTCTTGCTCAGGCTGGTCTGGAACACTGAGCTCAAGTGATCCTCCTACTTTGCCTCCCACAGTGCTAGGATGATAGGTGTGAGCCACCACACCCAGCCTATTTTTTGTCCTTTAATAACAGCCATTCTTACTGGTTTAAGATGGTATCTCATTATGGTTTTAATTTGCGTTTCTTTGATGACTAGTGATGTTGAACATTTTCTCCTATGTTTGGCCAAGCATACGTCTTCTTTTGAAAAATGTCTATTCATGTCCTTTGTCCATGTTTTAATTGGATTGTTTTTGTTGTTATTGTTGAGTTGCCTGAATTCCTTGTAAATTCTGGATTTTAGTATACTGTTAGATGCATATTTTGCAAATATTTCCTCCCATACTGAAGATTGTCTGTTTCAAATTATTTATTTCATTTTCTGTGCAGCAGCTTTTTAGTTTAATTGAAGTCTCATTTATTTAATTTTGTTGTTATTGCCTGTGTTTTTGAGGTCTAAGTCATGAATACTTGCCTAGACCAAAGTCCAGGAGAGCTTTTACTAGGTTTATTTTTAGTATTTTTATAGTCTTAGATCTTACACTTAAGTCCTTAATCCTTCTTGAGTTAATTTTTGCATATGGTGAGAGTCCAAGAGAGACATCCAGTTTCATTTTTCTGCATGTAACAATCCAATTATCTCAGCACTATTTATTGAAAAGAGTGTCCTCAATTCCTTTCATAGTACTTTCAAAGAAAATGAAATACCTAGGAATATACCTAAAAAAGAGGTAAAGGATCTCTACAGAGAGAATTATTAAGTCCTAAAAAAGGAAATAGCAGAAGACATTAACAAATGGAAGAACACACCACGTTCTTGGCTGGGAAGAATCAACATTGTTAAAATGTCTATACTACCCAAAGCAATCTACAGATTCAGTGCAATCCCCATTAAAACACCAACATCATAATTTGAAGAACTGGAAAAAAAATAGTACTTCATTTTGTATAGAATCCAAAGAAACCTTGTATAGCCAAGGCAAGTCTTAGTAATAAAAACAACGCCAGAGGCATAACTCTATCAGACTTCAGGTTGTATTTCAAGTCCACAGTGATTAAAACAGCATGGTACTGGCATAAAAATAGAGACAGTCATATGCAACAGAATAGAAAACCAAGAGATGAAACCAGTCTTTTTTTGCCATCTGATCTTTAATAAACCAAACAAAAGCATTATTGGTGAAAAGAATCCCAATTCAATCAATAGTGCTGGAAGAACTGAATAACCACATGTAAAGACTGAAACTGGACCAGCACCTTTCAACACTCTCAAAAACTGATTCAAGATGGATAAAAGATTTAAATCTAAGAGACGGGATGATAAAAATCCTAGAGGAAACTGTAGGAAAAACTCTTGATGATGTTGGCCGGGGAAAGATTTTATGAAGAAGACTTCAGTGGAAATTGCAACAGCAACAAAAATAAACAAAGCAGACTTAGTTAAACTAAAAAGCTCCTGCATATCTAAAGACACAACAATTAAACCAAATAGACAACCTTCAAAATAGGAAAAGATGTTTGCATGTTATGTTTTTGACAAAGAGTTGATAACTGGAATCTACAGAGAACTCAAATTAATCAATAAAAAAAGAGCAAACAATTCCATCTGTCACTGAGCAAGAGACATGAATGAAGCCTTCTCTGAGGAAGACAGACAAATGGCTAACAAACATGAAAAAATGCTCATCATACCTAATCATCAGAGAAATGCAAATCAAAACCACCCTGAGATATCACCTAACCTCAGTGAGAATAGTCCTCATTAAGAAGTCCAGAAGCTACAGATGTTGGTGTGGATGTGGAGAGAAGGGAACACTTTTACACTGCTGGGGGGACTGCAAACTAATATAGCTTCTTTGGGAAGAAGTATGGAGAATCCTCAAAGAACTCAAAATTAGACCTTCCATTTGATCCTGCAATCCCATTATTAGGCATTTTTACCCAGAAGAAAAAAAAAATCTTATCATAAGGACATTTGCACTAGATTGTTAATCACAGCTAAATTTACAATGCCCAAGATGTGGAAACAACCTAAATGCCCATCAATACAGTAATGGATTAACAAATGTGGTATATCATAGATGGAGACTTAACATTTTTTTGGTGTTCAAATAAACACATTCTTCTTAGTAAAGTATCATAAGAATGGAAAAGCAAGTATCCATTGTACACAATACTAATACAAAGTCAGTAGATGATCTAATACATGCCCACACAAAAGAAAAACTCAATTAAATTCAAGTTGGGGAAGGGGGTGAGAGAGGAGGAGGAGGGAAACTGATGTGCTTTTACTTAATGGGCACAGTGTATGGGTATATGGCACATCTCTTGGGTGAGGACACAATTACAGGAGGGACTCTACCTAACAAACATTGTAACCTCATTGTTTATACCCTCACATTAATCTGAAATTTAAAATAGGAAAGAAAAGGATGTTCTTTCCCCAGTATGTTTTCTAGTTGATTTTGTCAAAGATCAGTTGACTGTAGATATGTGGCTTTATTTCTGGGTTCTCCACTCTGCTCCATTAATCTATCTGTTTATTTTTATACCAGCACCATCCTCTTTTGGTTACTATAGACTTGTAATATAATTTGAAGTCAGGTAATATGATGCCTTCATATTTGTCCTTTTGCTTAGGATTGCTGACTATTCAGGTTCTTTTCTTGTTTCCATATGAATTTTAGGATTGCCTTTTCTGATTAAATGATGTTGGTATTTGATACGGACAGCACTGAATTGGTAGACTGCTTTGGGAGTATGGTCATTTTATCAACATTAAGTCCTCTGTTCCATGAACATGGAGTGTTTTTCCATTAGTTTGTATCATTTACAATTTCTTTCATCAGTGTTCTGGAGTTTTCCTTGTAAAGTTCTTCTTTCTTCTTGGTTAAATATATTCCTTGGTGTATTTTTTTGTAGCTATTATAAGTGGGACTGCCTTCTTGATTTGGATCTCCATTTGATCAATACTAGTATATAGAAACATACTGATTTTTTTTTTTTTTTGAGATAGTCTCACTATGTGGCTCTCAGTAGAGGGCTGTAATGTCATAGCTCATAGCAAACTCAAACTCTTGGGCTCAAGTGATTCTCTTGCCTCAGTCTCCTGAGTAGCTGGGCATACAGGCATCGGCCACAATGCCCAGCTATGTTTTTATAGAGACAGGGTCTTGCACTTGCTCAGGCTGGTCTCGAACCTATGAGCTCAGGCAAATCCACTCACCTTGGCCTCCCAGAGGGCTAGGATTATAGGCATAAGCCACTGCGTCCGGCTAACATTACTGATTTTTGTACATTGATTTGTATCCAGAAACTCCTGATTTCATTAATCAAATCTAAGAGTTTTTTGTGAAGTCTTTAGGGTTATAGGTAGAATTTTTATTTGGAGAGGGAGGATTGATACAGGATTCCCCTACTCAGGGCTGGACAAGGTTCACCTATTCTCTAGGCCCAGGTCAGATCAGAAATCAAACCTCTATTTCCAGGCTGCCTTTTCCAGGCCACACCTCTGGGCACAAACAAGATCATGAACAAAGCAGCCTGAGACTTTTTTGGGGTGTGAGTAGGAAAAACACCCTAATCCCTTCCCTGAGACAAAAACTGTAAAGACCTAACAACCTTGCCCCAAGGAAGAGACTGCTTTCAACTTTGAAAGAATTATTTTTCCACCTATCAAATCCTAGCCAAAATGT